CAGAGTTCTCAGTAGTCTCACAATGACAAAAATTGGCATTCAGGGTCCCCCAAGAAGGAGGGAGGCTGATAAACTCCCCAGGATGAGTTGGGATCTATGAAAGACCGAACTCTATTAGTAAAGGCAACAAAAGCTACTCCAGCCTTCACAGGTTAAAATCCACTTTCCGATCAGCTCAGCACCCGATTATATTACGGCAATGGCCCTGGCGCGTAGCTGCCGGCCGGAGGAAGAGGCCATGTTGGTCCAGCGGCAGTGAAAGTGTCCCCGCAGCTCCACGCAGAGCCACGCACGCATTTCACATACATATTTTGAAAAAAGAAAGGCCCCATGACTCTACTGAAACACATTCCCAAAATGGCAAAACTCAGTTATAATCTCTCACATAGTGGCTTTCTTTGGAAAGGAAGGAATGTAAGGGCTGCAAGGAGAATAACGGAAGCTCCCAGGGCACTGATAATGTTACCTTTTTCCTGATGGATGCAGTAGTTATAAGGGACATATGTCTCGTAAAATTCATTAAGCTGCACCATTATGAATTTTGTATACTTTTCTAAATATGGATATGTATATTATACCTCCATAAAAATTTTATAAAAGCTTTTATATGCATATATACCTATGTATCTATTCACACATATACATATATTTGTTTTTGCTACATCAACAGTTCAAAACATTTGGTTTGTTGAGAGCTTATTTTTTGTTGTTGTAAAACTGTGATTACTGCAGTCTTATTTATGCAATAAAGACAGCATTTTAAATATAAGCTCTTGTGAAATCTCCATTCTTTCAAAAAGAAATTTCTAGGAGCCACTACACTGTTTAAGCTGTTGTTATAAAGGCATTCACTAAAGCAATTTATTATAAGTGTATATCATTTTGAATTTGTGTATTTTATCTAGAATTATTTGTGAAAGAAATGTAATGATTTAACCATCCCGAAGGTTAGGACCTCTGATAAAACAAATATTAATTTCAAGAAAGAAATATGTTAAATCTTGACAACATGTTTCATCAGTTGACTATTCCCATGAACAATTTTGCAATTGCAATATAAGGACATTAAATGTATATTAAATTTTCCTTGGAAAAGTATTTATAACTAATAAAAAGAACCAAAAGCAAGGCAATGAAAGACAGATGAAACAAAAACAGAAAAACTATTAGGACCTTATATTTGATATTTGAACTTTTATAGAATCTACTATTTAATTACCATGGATAGTGACCAATTTTTCCTATTGAATAGCAAATGAAAATAATTAGATAAATTATAATACTTGATTTATAACACATTCTTACCCACTTATATTCCAATTTTAAATAAATTAAGATTAAGATTTGGTTTGTTAATTACTCATTTGCAATAATGTCTAAGTAACTGAGAGGACACTGCCCAAAACAAAAGCCACAGTTTTTGACAGTAACCTACACCTGACTGGTATCCCACTGCTCAATACATCTGCTTTTCTTCCCAAACTAAATTTAGCATTGTCTTGAATACTCTGTTCCTCTTTCCTTTCCTTATTTTTTTTATCAATAATCTTACTGAATCTATACATGGTTCTACTTATTTATCTGTCTAACAAACTCTCAAGGCTCTCTAACTCACTTCTGCTGAGGCCGAGAGGAAGGGGCTGTCCATGTGTATTGCTGCCTAGTGAGCACAGAAGGCCCAGGCCCTTGTCCTTGTCTGATACCTCCCCAGTGCGGGGGTGGGGGTCCTGGGATAGCCTAGCAAGGGTAGCAATCTAGGCTTTCCAGTTAGCCTTTGCTGGGTAGTAGAAGTGTAGCCACAGACATTTCTGTAGTGTCTGGCTGGAGTAGAGCATTTATTAAGTTTTGTTTTGGTCCTTGGTCCTTTGGCTAAAGCGAACAGAACTTTGTTGGGGCTTTCCTTGTCTCTGTCCGTGAATATTTCAAGAAAAGAAAGAAGAAAAAAAGAGAAGGAAGGAAGGAAGGAAGGAAGGAAGGAAGGAAGGAAGGAAGGAAGGAAGGAAGGAAGGAAGGAAGGGAGGAAGGAAGGAAGGGAACACTCAAGGAACTCACTTCCATGCCCCAAGGTCTTGAATCCTGAGGTCTTAAAAGTTCTGTCTTCTCTCCACTTTTCAGAGTCTTATGATGACAGGGTCTGGCAGGGGTAATGCCGGCTTGAGTGTGGTTGGTAGGGCAATAATATGGGTGAAATAATTTACAGTTTAATGTGAACATTTCACTTAAAAGGTCATATTGTGTGCTTGAGTGTGATACTGTTATGTTACAGCTACATGCTTATTATTTTGTAATAAAAGATTTTGTAATAAAAAGGAGCATTATTTGTGCCAGACTCTCTCCTCTCTCTCTATGTAGAATATATAGAGAATACACATATTCTATAAGGGTTTTTAGTTGTAGTTTGTATGAGAAATAGGAAAAATGATACAGCTACTTCATCTTTCTCATTGAACTATTTTTTAAAATATTTTATTTATTTAGAGAGGGGAAGGGAGAGAAAAAGGGAGAGAAACATCCATGTGTGGTTGTCTCTCGCACGTCCCCTATGGGAGACTTGGCCTGCAACCCAGGCACGTGCCCTGACTGGGAATCAAACTGGCAACCCTTTCATTTGCAGGCTGGCGCTCAACCCACTGAGCCACACCAGCCAGGGCTCATTAAACTATTTTTGAAGAAACTTTTCTAATTCATTTAAGCTGCTGGATTTTTTGTTACCATAAAGTCTCCCTCCTACTTTGTTGTTACCTTCCAGTGTCTAAGGGACCTGTCATGTCATCTCTCTCATTCCCGGTGTTGGTGGTTCTGCCTTTCTCATTATACTTGGTGTGTTGTGGTAAAGGTTTATCCATTTAATTTTTCTTTTCAAATAATCAAATTATGGATTTGTTATTTTCATTCCTTATATTTTCTGCATGTACTTCATTTTTTATTTTTATAATTTTATTTACTTTTATCTTTTATTATTTGAAGTCATTGATTTTAAGCGAACATAAGCATTGGAAAGATATACATTTTCACAGCACTATCCAACAAATTTTTTTCTCTTTTTTTTTATTATCCTTAAGTTAAAGATACCTCCTAATTTCATTTTTCATTAATTCATAAGATTTTCAAGTGTGGTAGTTAATAGATAAATATTTTAAACTTTCCAAAATATCTTATTTTAATTCTAATATATTTCTATTGTGTTCTGGAAAAATTTTTGTAACATTTCAGCCCTTTTGAAATATATGAGACACTTCGATCAGCATATTATCTCTTTTAGTGAAATCCCTGTTCTCTTTAAAATTACATATTTTCTGGGGTTATGAATAAAGTACTCTTTATTAATTAGGCTGTACTAGTCACCTTGTTAACAGTGTTGTTCAAGACCACCATAACTGTGCTGTTAACACTTTTCTTGATTATTCTATCAGTTCCTGAGAGAGGTATGTTAAATCACCTACCATAGGCGAATTTATCCCATAATGTTTATTAGTTTCTGTTTCATGTATTTTTAAGCTTTATTACTAGGTGCATAACCTTTAAGATTATTATGTTTTTATGATGGATGTTCCACCATATTTCCAGTTGTATTTCTTCTATAAAATCTACTTTTCTAATATCTATATAGCCATACTGGCTTTCTGATAAAGTATTTGCATGACATTTTTTTTTTACATTCAATTCTGTCTTTATAGTAATATTACATACTTTATGTTTCTTGGGCTATAAATCAAACTTTTTAAAGGCTTTCTGAAAAGTTTTCTCTATTTGACCTCCGCAATTTAATGATTTGTTATTTAATTCTATTTATTCTGCTGTTCATTCTATTTCAGTCTGTATTTCAACTAAATACATTTTTTTAATTATTTATTTGTATTAAATGTATTGGGGTGGCCTTGGTGAATAAAGTGTACAATTCTATAATGCATTATCTACACATTGCATTGTGTGTTTACCACCCGAAGTCAAATCTCCTTTTATCACCATATAGTTGACTCCTTTTATCCTCTCCTACCTCCCCCCACTCCCCTGAACAAACAAGGCAAACAAACTAACAAAGTCTCATGGACACAAACAACGGTATGGTGGTCAACTATTACATTTATATGCCTAGTATGTTTCCTTGGCACCATTTTTATGTTTTCTTCTTCTTGTTTTATATTCGGAATACCTTCCCTTATGCCTTTTAAATAGCTGTTATTTTTTTGGCCCTTCTCTTTTACTATCTCTGCATAGATTATAATCTGTAATGCAATCTATTTTTCTTTGAAAATGTTTGTTCCTTGTTGGATTGCTTTTTGGTCATTTTTACATGACACTACCGCTTTTTCTATTAAGCAACGCAGAGAGAGAAGGGAACCTCAGATAGTATCAGCTGCCAAAGCGTAGGCAGTGGGAAGTTGATCAGTCTCACAAGGGGCAGAAAACCTCAGACACCAGAAAACCAGCCCCTGGCTCACCACCCATAGACAGCTTGGGTCAGAGCTTCACCTTCGGCCCTTGGAGAAGCAGCCTGGGAAGATGGACTCTTTAGATATCACTTCTCTGTGGTCGGTTTCGAGGGCTTGCAGTGAGAAAACAACTGTCGGGGGTAGTAAATCTCATTTCCCCTGGCCTCCTGCTGCAGGAGAGCCCTGGCTTCAGTCTGGAGCCCTCCAGGACCAGTTCCAATTGCTGCAGGTGCGCTGACAATGCCGTGTGTGCCAGACGAAGCTGGCGAGCAGCCAGAGAGGCAAAGTTGATAGTCTGCCCTTTTAGCCTCTCACACAGCTGCCAGGTGATTTCCTTTCCAAGCCAACCACACAGGAAGCCTGCCAACCAAGCCACCCACCCTCTGTCTCCAGGAGTCTTCGCGTTTCCTTAAGTTCTTCTGGAACCCAAGAGAGAGGCAGCTGTACCCTGTCAGCAATTTGCTGGAAATCACTGGATTTATTTTTGTAATGTAAACAAGAGAAACATGGCTTCTTTTCTTATTACATTTCCTTAGAATCAGACCATTGCTCCTCCTTGCTGCCCTCTTTGTGCTTTAAGGAGAAAGCAGAGGGTTGCCCGAACAGCCCCCGTGCAGTTCGCTGTGAGACGCTGTTGCATGAAGCCCCACACGTTGTTGTCGGGAGCGCACTTGGAGGCCACCTGAGTAAGTTAGAGATTCACCATCTGAAGAAAAATTAGAAGACTCGGATCAGTGTAGTCTCTACTGTGACATTACCTCGCGGGGCAACAGAATGAAAGGCGCCTGCGTCAGTGCAAATGGTTATGTCTGGCAAATAAGCATATAAAAAACTCAACATGATTTATTATTAGCGATGGCAGATTAAAACAATAATAAAATACCACTACCCACCTGTTAGAATAGCCAAAATCCAGAACACCAACAGCAGCGAGCGCTGGCCAGTGCCAGGGCCAGGTAGACCCACCCGGGAGCTGCTGTGTCAGACGCGAGGCCGGGAAAGTCAAGAGAAAGTGTAGGGGAGGGGCGCAGGAGAGAACAAGAAAGAGGGTAAATGAAGTAACTCATAAATAAAAGACGTTATGTGGGGGTGGACAACAGACAGGGATAAATGCAGAGACGGTCTCTCTGGCTTTGCCAATTACTAGCTTTTTATACTTAATAAATAAATTGAACTCTATGGGCATCTTTAACTTTTCTCATCTATGAAAAACAGTCAATTTCCAGCTTGTCAATTTCCAAAGAGGGTGTTCTAAGAAATGTACAAAGGTGGTATGGGAGTATAAAGAGTACAAGAGAACAGAAAAGAGATGTCCCTGGTTGACAAAGGGGAAATCTGTGTGAAACATTTCATACAAGACAGGTAAAGCAAATGCTACCGAGAAGTATTAGAAAGGATGATGTCTGTAATAATTGGAAAATGAATGCCTGGGAGACTGGAAAGAATAGAAGGTAAGGGTGAAGGCAGAAAAGGAGTGAATAATTTTAAAACTCAACTCTGGAACAAAGGAGGGAAAAAGAAACTATGGCCTTGAAGTCATAGTCCCATCGGCAGCAAATAATGACTTGTGGAAAACTGATGTGGAAAATAGGGTTTAAATGTTGTTAGAGAGCCCTGCCCAGTGTGGCTTAGTGGGTTGGGTGTTGTTCCATGAAGCAAAAGGTTGCTGGTTCAATTCCCAGCCAGAGCACAGGCCTGGGTTGCAGGTTCGGTCCCAGGTCGGCACACATGTTGAGAGGCAACCAATCGACGTTTCTTACATCCATGTTTCTCTCTCTTTCTCCCTCCCTTCCCTTCTCTCTAAAAATAAAAGAAATCTTTTTTTTTAAAGGCTGTTAAAGAGACTTTGAAGATAAATATTTTGGATTCAGTATCTACAGGACAAGAATTCCAAGAAGGGAGGAAAGAGGCAATGGGATCTTTTGTTACACGAAAGAAAAGGTTGGAAAAGGAGAGCAATCTCTCAGGGAGACACGAAATGTTACCTACAGAAGACCACGGAGGAGCTCCCGCAGAAAGGAGGGGCCCAGTCCTCTTCACACTGACACCGGAGCTCGTGGTCACACACCTGGGGGACCAATGATCCTGTCAGTTTCCACATTAGACAGGCCACTGAGTCGAGGCCCTACCCATCCACCGCAATTCCATTCTGAAAACAGAATGATCCCTGTTCTGCGTCTTTCCACTATCTACATAACATGCAAATCAATGATAGGAACTTCACATATATTAAGTTCTTAGAAGAACTTTTTCTTTCAAATACGCTACTGAGGGGCTAGACAAACGTAATCATTTCACCCTGAAACATTCTTTTACATGATCAAAACTGACCTAAAATTACATAAGATTCAGAAAGCTTGGGGAAACATTTTCAAAACTTACAGCATGTCCTTCGCATTTAGATGAGCAATTGGTTGATTTGTAAGCTCTCTCAACATCCACACATTCTGCTTTAATGCAAACCTGAAAATTATGGGAAAAATATGACGTGACACTAAGATCCAAAGGTGTCAGCTCTGCAAATGTTTGTCTGTTTGGAATTTGGTTTTATATTATTAGCCATTATTTCCAATATGAAACTTACCTTTTTATGAGGGAAATCACAGCATTCTATTGAAAATAGGAGGGTGGGATCTAGATAATTTTTATAATAACATATTTACAAAGTCCTCTTAAAGATTTCCTTACTTCATTCAAAATGTTTGTGCTTCACACATCAGCAGTCAGTGCAGATGGTACAAGCTACCCATTCCAACCAAAGATATTATGAAAAACATGTTAATATCACATCTTCTGTAGCATTAAAAGTGGTCATTTATATAAAAATAAATAGTATTGTTAATCTCTTTATTATTATCAGAGTGACTAGCACCATTGAAAACCTACCAATTTGAGGACAATAAAATTTACCTAAGTTTAGCAACCTAATACTAAGCATGTAATAGGTACTTATTAAATAACACGGAAGGATAAATGCAGGCAGACATAAATGAATGTCATGAGCATTGCTTTGAAGACTGCTCCTATGAAACACAAAGAGGCCTTGAAAACAAAACAAAAAACAAAAACTAAAAAAACATTTGAGTAAGAATCACAATTTCAACTTACCTTCTTATCTCCGCACTTGGTTCCGTTGGCCACCATGCCTACTTCTTGACTCTTGTCTTCAGGATTGAATATTTTACACGTCAAAAAAGTCACTACATGTCCTTTCAGGTACAAATTATTTGACCCACCTTGACAGAACAACTTCCCGCACATGATGTCACTGAGGAAAAGCCAAAATTTGCTGCAGTTGAAATACCAGGATCCAAGTCGCAATTTTATACAAATGTTGGTAGCTACCTGGCTATCAATAGTTAACTAATGGTTTTTCTCCCTCGAGCACAGACTCCTGGTTCTTTATATCAATTTCCCCCTATTCTTCAGTAACAGAACCACTGAATATGGAAAAAGCACATTGTTGCTGTAGCAACAACACAAAAACACCTTTCCCAGATTCCCATGCACCTAATTTTGGCCAATTGCCTAAGTTTTGGCCAATGGGAAGGAAACAGAGTCTTAAGTACAATACAAATTCTTGAAGGTGCCCTTCCTTGTTTTTTGGTGTTTCCTTTTTGCTTATTGGAAAGTGACAGCTGGTGCTAGAGGAGCCAACACAGACCAAGAGAAACACTTGGAAAGGGAGGTCATATGTGTGCTGGAGCAAGAAAACATTAGAAGAATGGGGTTCTAACATAAAGGAGGGTGCCTAGGAAATCAATTTCTATCTTATTTCAGCTAATGTTCCTTATTTATTTTCATGAATTGCAGCAGAATAATTCTCTCCACTATGGTTGGGGCAATATAAAGCTGAACCTTGGCTGATGCTCCACGGCATCATGCGGCGTTACTGAAAGAACTGTCCCCCTGCAAACGCAGGGGGAAACTGCTCAGTGCTCAGTAAAGCCATTCATTTACCACCAAGGAGAGTCAAGTCAATGCCAATAAAATTGCAGTCCATTGCTTTATGTGGAATTCAGAAGATGCTTGTGGAAAGGATTCTGGGGGCAGATACAACCAGATTCTTCTGATGTCTTTAGTGGTTGTCAAAAAATATGATTGAGGAGTAGAGAAAGCTGTCATTCTCTCCAAACCTGAGAGGGTGTTCTCTTGAATCGTTTCGGGGAAGGTTCTAGGGTACAGGGAATTCCAGGCTTACTCTCCCCTCCAGACAGTCACTATGAAGAAGTGACTAGAAAGGCAGCCTGTGGGGAGGGTGAGAAGCTTGTGCCTCTAATTATAGAAGTTCTTCTGGGGCCATACAGATAGCGACAGGGGACAGTGGCGTGCGTGCCTGCGGCAGAAGGGAAAGGGATGGCCCTGCTCTCTTTCCCCCCTTCTGCCCCTCCTACTACATATTGCTCTCCTTTCCCCCCAAATATTCTCTTTTACATATTTTCCCCCTTTGAGTCTCCCCTGATTTTTTTAAAAGGAGAAAGCACAGAATATGGTGGCCCATTCTTTAGGCCCAACTGTCCCAAGAGATGGCTCCATGGCCAAAATGCAGTTTGTTTGGAAAAACTAATATATGCATATAATATCAATCATCAAGAAAAATTAGTGTTTAATAGACAAATTTTGAGAAATGCTGATTTTGTTTAACCTTTTGTTGTGCATTAATTTAAATGTGTAAAATTTGGAATAGGTACAAGGAGTTTATTATAATTTGAATTTTTAATGTCATTTTAATATTGCACAGTCAAAAAATCTTATAGAAAGATCTCAAGTTCATTGAATGTCATATTCTATAATTTTTCTAGAATATCACTATAAAAATTAAAACATTCTTTGGGTGAATTGTCAATGTTTTCTCTTACTGACTTTTTCTTTATATAATTCCATTGCACGTTTAAGTTAAATAAAACTGTATAGGCATTTTATTGGTTATTTCTCTGAGTAGGTAAACATTTGTGCCTCTAGAATCATAATCAAAGACATCAGATAGGAAGCACGGAAAATATCCTGGAAAATCAATGGACACATTTCCAACCAGGCCCATTCATTCACATTGTATGTTCCATCTCAAACATTCATTCTGTTTACTAATGATTGTACGTGGTATCATCCGAAACACCCATCAGGAAGGACTTGAACAGTGGCATCAGTTCTTATTTCTCTTATTGACTCAGTGCCTAGCTTGAAACATGGCACGTACTAGTCATTCAATGACTGTCCAGAATTCAGGTTCTCTTTAAATGGAATAAATCAGAATGCGTGGCTGGATGTGAGCAATACCCCTAGCATGTGGGGCAGGAAGCATCAAACAGTAAGACCACTTACTTTGCTTTACAGGGGATGTACGTGTCATCCACTTTGTGGCAGTACCCGTACTTTAACCCATTTTTGTTCTTGCTGTAACATGACATATCTGCAACCTCAGCTTCTGCGGCCAGGCATGATCAACAGGGACACATTTGAAAAGAAAAGAGAAAGGAAGTTCATTGCTACAGAGGATTGATGGACTATGAAACCAACAGCATAGGGAATATGGTTAATAATATTGTAATAACTATGCATGGTGCCGGCTGGGTACTTGAAATAATGGGGGATCACTGCGTAAATTATGTGACTGTCTAACCACCAGGTTATACACCTGAGACTAATACAACGTAGTGCTGAATATAAACTGTAATTGAAAAATAAAATTCAAAAAATACCATCATGAGAAATACTATTTTAACATACAGTCATGCATTGCTTAACGGCAGGGTTGCATTCTGAGAAAAGCGTAGTTAGGCAATTCCGTCATTGTGGGGACATCACAGAGAGCACTTACACAAACCCAGGTGGTAGAGTCCACCACACACCTAGGCCATGTGGTCTAGCCCGCTGCCCCGGGCTACACGTCTGTACAACATGTTACTGTGGTGAATACTGTAGGCTATTGTAAAACAATGGTAAGTATTTGTGTAGCTAAGCATAAAGAAGGTACATGTCTTATTGGACTGTTCCATTTATCATTATGTAGGGCCTTTCTTTGTTTTAAAGTCTATTTTCTTAGATAGAAGCACAGCGACCCCAGCTTTCTTTTCTTTTCCACTTGCATGAAATAAATTTTTCCATCCCTTTACTTTTAGCCTGTATGTTTCTTTCATTCTGAGGCGGGTCTCTTAGAGGCAGCATATACATAGGTCTTGTTTTCTTATCCATTCAGCTACCCTATACCTTTTGTTTGGAGCATTTAAGCCATTTACATTTAAAGTGATTATTGACAGATACATATATAGTACCATTTTATCTCACACCTGTCAGAATGGCTGTCAGCAGTAAATAAACGAACAACAAGTGCTGGCAAGGATATGGAGAAAGGGGAGTACTTTTGCACTGTTGGTGGGAATGCAGACCAGTGTAGCCACCGTGGAAAGCAGTATGGAGATACCTCAAAACATTAAAAATTGATCTACCTTTCAACCCAGGTATCCCACTTCTGGGAATATATCTGAAGGAACCTAAAACACTAGTTCAAAAGAACATAAGCACCCCATGTTCATTTCAGCATTATTTACAATCACTAAGCTATGAAAGCAGCCCAAGTGTCCATCAACAGATGAGTGGATAAAACAACTATAGGACATTTACACAATAGAATACTATTTGGCTGTAAAAAAGAAGAAAATTTTACCCTTTGTGATAGTATGGATGGACCTAGAGAACATTATGTTAAGTGAAATAAACCAGTCAGAGAAAAACAAATACCATATGCTTTCACTCATATGTGGAATCTAATGAACAAACTGAACTAACAAGGAAAATGGGGGCGGACTCACAGGTGGAGAGCAGATGACAGCTGGTCGTGGGGGAGGGGGGAGGGGGGATTGGGCAAATAGGGGGCTGAGGGATTGTGGGAGGATATAAGGGGACTAAATGGTAATGGAAAAAATACAATAAAGATCAAATTTTAAAAAAGAAAAAAGGTACGGTAATAATGCAATATAAATGACTAAAAATGGCGCGCCTGTATAGGACACTTAGCATGGATGGGGCTGGCAGGACTGGACGGGGCTCGGGCTGCAGCAGTGACTGCGCGGCGAGTGAGCGTGAAGACCCAGGGCGCGGCTGTTCGCCCCTGTAGACTTACAAACTCTGTGTGCTCAGGTGACGCTGCATTGATAAAAATAAATTTTTTCCTTCTTCAATAATGAACTAAACTTAGCTTACTGTGACTTTTTTATTTTATAAACTCTTTATTTTCTAAACTTTTCAACTATTTCATGATAACACAGCTTAAAACACAAACTATTATACAGCTGCACAGAAACTTTTTTCTTTATATCCCTATTCCAGTGCTTTTTCTCTACTAAAATCTTTTTTTTTAAACTTTTTAAATTTGGGTCAGAATCATCAATATTACCATCTCCACATCTTGTCCCACTGGCGGGGGCTCCGGGGCCACTTCGCACACGGAGCTGTCACCCCCCATGAGAACCACGCCTCCTCCTGGGACACCGCCTGCCGGAGGCGCTTCCTGAGACGGTCGTCGCCCCTTTCAGGAGTGCGTCCGTGGCGGGGTGCTCCGTTTCTCTTTCTCATCATGCATTTGCTTGTAAGCAGACGATGCACGACGAGCAGTCCCCTCCATTAATGGAAACCTTCTGGTGGTGGCAGCCGTTTTCCAACTTTTCAAGGAGCCCGTTAAATCTGCGAACACTTCTGCTAAACCCTTCACTGTGAAAGTTCCTGGGGTCTTCTTTTTCTTCTTTTACAGTTTTTTCTTGGGCCTCTTCAGCTATGCATTCCTGCTCCAGTCCCAACGATCCCTCATTAGTCAAGTCCTCAGGAACCACCTCCAGAAGCTCCCCACTGCCACCCCTACCCATCCCAGGCGAGAGTCCTTCGCCATCGCCACCACGGCCTTGATCACGGCGGCCTCCTCGTCCTTGGCAAATCCTTTCAAGTCACGGATGAACCTCCTGAGTGTCTTCAGATGCCACGAATATACTTCTTGGGAACATCACCCCCAGCCCAAGGAAGGTTCTCGATGCCCTCACACATAGTGTAGTCCTTGGCATCTTCCCAGCGTCCCCCTCGGCTGCAGCAACAGCCGGGTCGAAGGTCCTCCGCAGGCAGCCCGCCTTAAGAGCTGCACGGCCTCTTGACCGTCTGACCGAAGAGGTGGTGTCTGGAGGGAGAAACACACTGTGATGCTGGAACGAAGGTCACCACTGAGAGGAGGGTGTCCAGGGGCTTTAGTGACAATGAGCAAGACCTTGAAAGGTGTGCTAGTCTCCGAACAGCACATTTCCACGTCGCCAGCAGTGCAACTCCGGAGGGAGCCGTGGATCAGGAGCTGAGTCATCTGTCCGTGGTTTCTCATTGCTCATTGACCGAACTGTCATTATGCAGCACAGGATGTAATCCCCTTGGTCATTGTCAGAACTGGAGCCTGCGATAATGTGATATCAAGAGCACCGACTGGAGTTACAATCTTTTAAATCTATTGCTGAATAATGGCTATCTTCGTATTTGAAAACACCTGGATGGTTTACTGAATGTTGATAGGAATCTATATAACAATGAAGATTGAGACTGGAGAGCCGCTGCGTTGATGTTGACAGCCAGCAGGTGGTGAAATGCATCCTGCTGCTTCCACTGCGACAACGACATGCTGTGCTTGGTCAGACTGCTGTGTTGCCAGGAACAGCAGTGAGCATCGTATTTTACTTCTCATGTAATCTTCCTCAGATCCCCATCAGATAAGCAAGAGAATGTGGTGCTTAACAGCTCAGGTGTTAAGTGAGAATGAGCAGCTGTGTGACCTTGGACAAGTGCCGTGACCTCGCAGTTTGCTTGGCTGTAAAGTAAGAATACGCACCAACCTCACAGAGTCTTCGTGAGCATTAAATGAGTTAATATACATGAGCCAATGAGAAGAGTGGACAGTCAGTAATAAGGGACTGAGAAATATTGGCCATTGTTATCATCGTTTCCATTTTGTCACCAAGGAAATGGAGACTCACGCTGAAGTCACAGAGGGAGATGAAAAACCAGACTGCCCACCGAGTTCTAACGCTTGCACTACAGTCCCGTGGGAGATGCCCCTCTTAAACTTCAATAAATAGCATGGGTAAAATTTGAATTCAGTCTTTCAAAGCACAAAAGAGGTTAAAATAACAAAATATCTGTAAAGATATTGCACTGGTTTTAAGAAAAATAATTGAACTTACAATGATTTGTAAACTCAAACCATTTTCAATGAATTTGTGTCTCAGTGTTCAAGATGATGAAATACGTTGATTGCCATATTTGTATTATTTGTATCTTAATAACATTTCTTAGTTCCTTATTATATAAAATATCTACACTGAAAAATTGAATAATTTGGCATTAGTAATTTGTAAAAAGTGTATTTTTTTAACAAGTTTACATTCAACACTACTCTGCACCAGTTTCAGATGGACAGCAAAGCGGCTGAAAACCATGCACTCTACACAGGGTCCCGCCTTTGCCCCACGCGCCCGGCTGGCCCATGCCCTTATCTCAGTGTATTGGCTATATTCCCTAGATGGTAATCTGCATCTCGGGGGCTGTTCTGCAACTACCAATCTGCCCTGCTCAGTCCTTTCACCTTTTCACCTAGACCTTCAATTCCCCTCACCTATGACAGCTGCCAGAATGTTCTCTGTATCTATGAGTCTGTTTCTATTTTGTTTGCTAGTTTATTTTGTTCATTATATTCCACACATAGGTGAGATCATATGGTATTTGTCTTTCTCTGGCTGGCTTATTTCACTTAGCACAATACCCTCCAGGTGCATCCATGCTGGAAAGAGTATATTCTTAATCCCAAACTTCAGGGTTACTATGGCTAATATTGCAGAAAGAATCATCCATATACCTGGTATCACACTGCTTCATAAATTACTTTTTCCCAGTTAACTTGTTCTTTTCCCAGGCATTAAATATTCTACAATCTCATAGCTGTAAAAAAAAAATCATTGGATAGATACACTATAATCTATTTGACTCATCCTTATTCTTGGGCTTTGAGAAGTTTCCCGATTATCCACTATTATTTTTAAAAAATGATGGGTGAAATACTTGTATATAAATATTTCTGGGTACAACTTTTAGAAAAAGGATTACTTTTTTCATGTTGTATACAGGTGTTGACAAGAGTAGGTTTACAGTTGTAAGGTTTTTTTTTTCAATCCTCACACAAAAATCTGGGTTTTTTTCATTGATTTTAAAGAGAGAGGGAGGGAGGAGGGGGGAGAGAGAGAGACAGAGACAGAGACAGACACTGATGTGAGAGAAACATTGATTGATCGACTCCCATACAGGGACTCAAACCTGCAACCTAGGTATGTGCCCTGACTGGGAATAGAACCCTCAACCTTTTGGTGTATAAGAAAATGCTCCAAACAACTGAGCGCCTGGCCAGGGCACAGAGTTTATTCTTGTATTATTATTTATTAATTATTGAATTATTTTCCATACAAACAACTGTAAACTTACTGTTGGCCATTTTTCATACGGGTAAACTTACTGTTGGCCCATATGCATTTTTCAAAATTCTCTCTGAAAAGATCGTGCTAATTCATACTCTTACCAGTGTGTGAAACCAGACATCCTCACCAACACTAGGCAATTGTAGCCCAGCTTTGCCTACTTAACCCATGAAGAAGATTAACATGTTTTCACTCATATTCTTTACTCTGCGTTGCACTTGATGTGCTGGTGGCATCAAGCTTTACTTCTCAAATTATACCTCAGCCCACCCTTGCCTGCACACAGGCTTTTACTGAGGAATTTTTCTAGGTGCTTATCTATTTATTTCCCAGGTTTCTTTTATTTTAGGTGTAGTGTGAATCAATAATTACTGTTCTTTTCCTTAATCTTGTCTCATGTATTTTTAGGAATTATAAAATGTTTCTGGCATGTGATAACCCTACTGAAATACTTTTAGGACTATGTATTTTCCCTATTTGAAAAAAAAATTGCTTCAGCCATTTAAGTAGAAATCTGGAAGTGTAACAGGAAAGGTTGTAAAAATTTAATGTAAATACAATATACAAGATTTCCAGAAAGTCCAAAGAATTAATATTTTAACAATTGCCCTTCTAATCAAATTAGTTCAAACAATTTAAATTTTGATCAAAAATTTTTGGAGATTTTTGAGTTATGATTTCACTTTTAGTTTCTTTTTTATGATGTAATTAGAGAATATGGCCTCTAAAATTCTAGTATTAAGGACAATATGAACATTAAAGAGCATTCACTTCTCCTCATTGCTCCTCTGCATTTCCAGCATCTTCTTTTTCTTTTCTCCCCCTTTTCTTACTCTCTCTGCCCCTGTGAGCACCTTTGCACTCCTACACACACGTACACACCACGTACCTACACACATACACACAACACACACCTATACACATGCACACAGCACATGCCTACACACATGCATGTGCACACAGCACAGGCATCAGCACATGCCTACACACCCATGCACCACACAACTTCCACATATGCACACACCACACACCTACATACACACGCAGACTTCCAAGTGTTACATGTCTGAAAAAGGTCTTGGTTAGGGTCACCAGATTAAACAGTGAACCCAGTTACATTTGAATCTCAGATACACAAAAAATATTTTTTATTATGTGTTTGCCTCAAATATTGCACAAGACATACAAATATCAAAAATGATTGTTGATCTGAGATTAAAATCTCCCTGGGCCATTCTTATTTTTACTTGCTAAATCTAGCCAACCCAAATTGACCTTCAGCACTAAGATGCAGTGGCACAGTTTCAAAGAAAGAAGAGTGGGAAAGAAGGCTACTTTGGCCATGATTCAACACTGTCACTTGGAATAAAGTGTTGTTTTCTGTTTTGTTTTGTCTTTGGCACGTGCGTGGGGAGAGGCAGGCATGCCGGCCGCGCCGGGGCGAGCCCTCCTACCTGGCCCCCAGAGCTCGGTGCATTGCCCGTGCAGCGTGGGGCACAGGCCCTGGAGGCAGTAGCCCTTCCCGTTCTGGCAAGGGAAGCCGTTGACTTGGAATCGGTCATCAGGGCAAAGAGCAGATTGGCCATCACACATTTCTGGCAAGTCACACTCGTCTTTTGCTGGTCTGCACACTCTACCGGCCTCTTTAATCTGCAGGAAAAAATGGATAGAAGGTTTTTATTCACCAGACGGACCAATTATCTCCAATTAATGCAAGTGTCATTTTCCTTCTGGCCTTTTATTGCCAAGGCAGTTACGGGCACCACTCTCTTCCAGTTTACAGTTATGCTGTATTAGCTAAGGCCACCTCCTACTGGGTCATTTCTATTGACTTTGTCCAATGCCCTCGTTCTTTAATCAATCAGTATGTCTGGCTTTGGAGTGGAAACACTATGGGAATGCCAAAGAGAAAACTGCAGACAAAAACCAAGCAACATCCGGGAAGTAAAGAAGGAAGTTATTTATCCCTTTGTGGAATGCATTTTTGTCAAGACTTTCGAAGAGATTTCCGTCTGCAACTTCAGAGATTTGCAGGTGAACTGGATCTTCCACATGAGAGAAGAGAAGCTTGGTCAGCATCAGGTCAGCGCGCTGGGAGGCTCTCAGGCAGCGCCTCTCCGAATTCTTAGTTCCTTTTATTGGGTGTTCAGATACTTCCTTTTGACTCACTTCTTTTTATTGAATAATTTATAATGAAGGAGAAATACCCAAATATTCATTTGATATATAAACTCCATTACAACCTACTATTGTGAACCTTGCTCTTATTTCCTGAGAGAAAACAGTAAAAGAATTCTTTCATTCAGATCTGAAGAGGCCCGCGCGGACACGAGACGCACCGCCTCCCCGAGCTGAAGGGAGCGGACAGGCTGTCACGTCCTCCAGACGCTTTCAATGTCTTTATGCTGGGGCCAGAATAAAATCCAAATTTTAACTAGAGCATAGGAGACCCTCCAAGTTCAACCTCTGCTGTAAAGCCAGACAAGCTTTACACACTATGCTCATACCTTTTATTCTTTGTTCTTTCCCTCAGTTTCCTTATTTGGGAAAATTTTCTCTTTCGGTCTGATTCTCTAAAATCCACTTATTACTTTACAGGCTAGTTTGAAGCCTCCCTTTCCGTGAAGGCTCCCTGGCTTCTTCCACGCTCGCGGCTGCCACTCCCTCCTGCGTGTGGCAGGGGAAGTGGCGTGGACTGGCCTGGTCGCAGATTTGGAGGATGCAGCTTTGGATCTTGGCTCTCCCAGCAGCTAAGTGAGTAACCCTTGAAAACAGATTTAATGTCTTCGAAAATCCATATTCCTATCTAATATTTAATTTAAAAGTTCATTGTGAAAATATAAGTGAAAAGATTTCCATGGAGGGTATATACCGTTATAGTATCTACTTGGGCACTCAATCATGCATTATATTTTCATCTGTTTCAGGTGCGTATACCATTGTCCCAAGCAAATAGCAAGTTCTTTGAGGTCAAAGACAGCTTTTATTTTTCCATTTCCCATAACAGCTAACAAGTAGAATTTAATAAACACTTGTTGAACGCGACTTAAGTTCTCAAATTTTCTTCCCTTTGGCCTCCTTTATTTCTTTTCTCGCCCTCTGACATTTTAAAAAAAATCTATCCCGATTCTTACCTGTAACCTATTATACAATCTACACATTTCTCCTAAAAGCAATTACTGAGCATTCGGCATTATTAGATCCTGTGCTAGGGGAGGGTTTCGGAGCCCTGCCCTTAGGGGCTACTCCAACAAAGGACACAGACACACAAACAAATAAATGAGCATTACCAAAAATGGAATATAAAACGCTGAATTTTAACTTGGAAGAAAAGTCAGAAAGTCTCAGAAAAAAATGACAGAATATTCTCATTTTATGTCTCTTTTCTATGAATTTCACCCTGAGGTCACTTCAAAGGTTAAAGACAGGGCAGCCCCAACATTATTCAAAACAAATGTTTTCCACCAAACTCATTATTAGAGGGATTTATAACTAATTCTGAGATTTGCTCCACGAAGGCCACATAGCATCTCAAGAAGCAGGAGGTGAGAGTGAACAGTATTGCCTTTGGAGCCTGTCAACATGGAGTTTGTTTGCCATTTAGTGATCCCATTATTTTGCATATTTTCTGTTCTGAGCCTCTTTCACCTTGAAAGCAAAATGAAATCATAACATCTACCTCAAAAGGGTGTTGGAGAATCTAGTAGCCCATGCTTGTCACGCACTCGGTGAGGACTTGACACACAGTAGGCAGCATTATTTTAGAGACAGAAAAATGTTGCTTTGTCTATTTCATGGATCACAAGCCCTGAGATTTTAACGTGGAAAAAATAAAGGGCATCACAGTTATGAAGACAGAATACCAGACTCTCACCTGGCAGCCTTCACAGCACTCCCCAGAGGCACACAGAAAGCCGGCCTTGATTTTACATGTGTTAGCATCACAGCAAACGTCGGTGCATTCCTAAGAAATTCCAGAGACAATTGCAAGTGCTGAATTACTTTTTGGTCTCATTTTAGCACAAGTCATAATATAATTTATTTATCACTCATACCTCATGTTGGTATAGTCTGAAAATAATTTTCAAGAAAATAAAAAAAAAGATTAATGTTAGAAAAACTAAGATTTTAGAGCCATCAAGTGTGCGATATTTTTCTGAGTTCTACTTACATTTTAGAAAAGTGTGAATGTCTTTCTTAGTTCACCCAGTTTTCCATAATAATACTGAAAATATGAGAGCAAACAGAAAGACAAAGGACAGGCTTAAAAAAATAAAATTTATCTAAAGGACATAGTTAGTTCAACTGATCAGTATTGTACCTATTCAGCAGTAAATTGACTCTCTGGAACATGAAACCAAAAATCAAAAAAAAAATAGATTTTTAATTAAATTTTGACATTGATTTCAACTCTGCATAAAGCAATGTATTTTGTTCTCCTTGCTTTGTGTGTGTGTGTGTGTGTGTGTGTGTGTGTGTGTGTGTGTGTAAGAAATCAGACCCCCTTCTGGTTGTAGGTGTTCAGATTCCCAAGGGAATGATATATTTTTGAATGACAATGTTTAGAGTTAAAACTCTTGCCCTTATTGCAAAAACAAACATCATCTGAGAAAGATTCCTTTTTCTGTTGGATGAATAAATTTGTAATCCTGTTTTGAAGTTCCTGAGAAGCTGGGCCCCTGAGGCCTTGACCTGTTGTTACAACCCTCGGCTGCCCTGTGAACAAGGTGGGAAGGGTAACAAGTCCTGCGTCACAAAGGGACAGACTGCGCCGGGCGAGTCTGGGACTGCGGCACCAGCGCGCCTGAACGCACAACTTGGCTCCTCCGTTTACCAGCGTGGTGACCTGGGGCAAGCGACCTCCACCCTGGGAGCACTGTCGCAGTGCTGTCTCTAAAGTTACTGTGCAAGAAGGAGGACTTCTGACAGGAAGGGCAGGATGAGGTCATACATCTCGGGTGGATGAGTGGTGCTTAAAAAACTGGATACGGGAAAGGGACCCCAAGAAGGCCTTTTAAGCGGTGCAGGGTTCGTTGTTGGAAAGCCTGGCCTGACAAGGATTTACAAACGAATGTATATAAAAACAGCAAGAAAAATGCAATTTTATAGGATACCACACTATACAGTTTTTTAAATTATGGCTCAAAAACATTTTATGTTTAGTTCTATGTATTGAGGTGACATCAATTAATAAAATTATATATATTTTCAGTGTACAAACACTATAGTCTAACAGTTTGTCTTTTTTGAGTTGCAAAACCAACGGGGCTTTTTTAGGAAGGACTCGGTCATACCTCGGAAGTCCCGCAGTCACAGTCCTCTTCCATTTCCACCAGCTGGTTCCCGCAGAGCGGCGTGGATATGACGTCGGTAGGCAGCGGAACGTTGAAGAGGCAATCTGATAATTTATCTTCGAAAAACTTGGCGTAGCTGACACGGCTGCAGGAACTGAAATCCGTGGGTATGTTGATGCTGTGAAGGGAAGGGGAGGAGGAGGGAGGGGAGGGGAGGAAAAAGAGAGTGCAGTCAGGCCCAGCACCGAGGGGACACGGGGGATGATGCCCCAAAAACCTGCCCCGAAAGGTCGAATCAAACCCACTGATCGACTGCTAAATCATGAACTCACTCATGTGCCTGAATTAGACCACCGAGAGGAACCAACACTTCTAAATGAGCCAATATGGTCATGTCTCAAAGTATAGCATCCAGGCGGCTATTTAAAAAAAAGGGCTTCCGACTTACCTAGATAATCTTATTCAGCCTTGGGCTATTTTGATTGTAAAGTCGTAAAGGTAGTACAGTTATACTTATTTACATGTCTAGGAATTCACTTCCCTTCAGAGGAATTTCTATTGACAGAATTTCTTCATTCCACAAATAAAGCTGAGGGTTAAAAATGCACTAATATCTGGAAGAGGTAATATCAAACAATGCAGCTGTTGCACAGCCATATGCTATTTTGTGGAAGGGAGACTACCCCTAGGTTGAGCAAGCTGAGAAGGAAATTGAAAAGAGGAAATGGATGTGGAAAAGGCATTGTGGAATTTTTTAAGATAAAATTCCCTGGCAAGTTTGCCTAAGGCATGGCAGAATTGGGCCACCTTTTTTCACAGATTCCCTCTTCATACTCCTGTGAGAACTTTCTTCTTTAGGTTTTTCTCCTTGAACTTTTTCCTTATCACCACCTAATATGAACTTATTGAAAAATTGATGAATGCTAATGATTTTCTGTAGATGAGGATAAAATGATGAGTCAACCCAAGAGTAAAAAGACAGCATGTTTAAACTATATCTTAGCTAATGAAAAAGTGTCAACATAGAGATGAGGGATGAGGTGGTTTGGTAGATATAGATACACGTTCATGACTATGCTATTTAATCATTTAAAAGCTTGACCGTGTTGTGGAAGATGATATAAAAGAGTAGCACAGCCCAGAAAGAGCCCAAACCAGGGGAAATAGCTTCTTCCCAGAAAGACTTGCCTTAGTGCTTCTTCCATCACACACACTGTTTCTGGGCACTTGCAAAGGTAGGAGTCATGGAACATTCCAAAGTTATGGCCCATTTCATGGGCCATCGTTCCTGCAACACTAAGTGCGTTGTTACTGTGGTCCTACGGGTGAGAACAGAACAACATATCTGGTTCACAAACTGATCACTCGGGGTATAATTAAATATTGTTTGCTGTAGCCAAGTGGAGTACAGGAACTGATTTTAGCTTCAGCCTACTCACCCTAGCCACCATCTGTCCCCACTCCTCTCTCTCCACACATACACCCACAAAACTTCAGTACTGAATGCCCATAACAGAACATATTACCTTCTCTTTGTTCTTGTGAATGGAAAATACTTTAATGAGAAAAATTTTTGTGCTCTTCTACCATGAGAGAGAGTGGCCAAACTTCAACAATGATAGGAAATCAGAAACATTTTTAAAATAATCTACCTCCCTTTCCAGTTCTCTTTTTAGTATCTTCTAGTTCAATTGGAGGGGGTCTGTCAATCAGAGGGCTCTGATATGTTTAGCTGATGGAACTTTTAAAGTGTTTGTTAACCTAGAAGTTTCATACATAGGCATTTTTTTCAACTCTATTACTGCCAAGGCTAGACATTGGTCGATTCCAGACTTGCCCCATCGCATGAAGTCCAGCCCGTGGCCAACTTCATTGTCAGGTCACATCTAGTTTGTCCTGGGGGCTCCGAGCTACCCAGGGGAAGCCCAATAACGGTAGAAAATCCTCGCTGGCCATGATTTCCCAGTGGGGAGGCAATCTGCCAATAACACCCATCCTCAGAAACCTGATTCCCTTGTCTACTTCATTTCTAGAAAGCAAATAAAGAGATTCGTAAGGCACAGCGCAAAACTGGCAAACAAGGAACACCTGTGCCATGTGAGATGCATGCCACCCATTCACAATATTGTTTCATCATGTTGAAATAAATTTGGTAAACTTTGTTTTCTAGTAAGATGGAGCTCTCCAAATGGAGACAAAAACAAACAAAACAAATTAAGAAAAGTGGAAATGTATTTAGGGACTTTTGAGATTGTCTTGATATTCTTTAAAATTTAGGGTAGCTTCATTTAAATAATTATTTTCATAACTTCAATGTTTCACCCCCTGGCATGACCTCTATAAACAAGATAATACTTTATTATTGTGTTGGGCTTCTCACTGGTTGTGCAAGATTGATGCAATGTTTGAATTTCAATCAATGTTAATCCACCACATCATCTAACTGAAGGAGAGAAACCAAACTATCTTCTCAACAGATTGAGAAAACAGAGCTTTTGACAAGCTGAAACATAAAGCCAATTGCTTATCTTCCAACAAACCTGAACAATGCCAACAGAGTGATAAGGAGAGCACATTGTAGACATGAAAGCAAGGCCCACAGTCGTTCCAGAAAAATCTGTTGTCCTGCAAGAAAGAGACTGATATGACAACTCATGATTCTAAGCTTTACTTTATAGACAGTTCATCCACAATTCTAAATGGTTAGCAGAGACACTCACATTGTGAATCATCATTTGTAAATATTTCCTTCAGTTTTTTAAATTTGATAAGGCACATTTTCTTATACAATGGTTGTCATATCACCTAAATCCAAGCACCTGAATATAATCACTTTTAATATTTTATATCCATCATTCATAGCTGCTATATTTTCATTGTCAAATTCATCTCTTGTCAGAAAATCAAAGTTTGTTTTTTTTTTTTTGTCCCAATAAATGTTTTTCTTTATGTACAAGGTCTGTCCAGAAAGTATCCATCTGTGTAATGTGAAAAATAAAGACATTTATTGAAGGAGGTACAAGATACAAGAAACTTTGTACATAGGACAATGATACCTCAGTCCCCTTCAAAGTAGGCTCCTTGGGACCTCACACAATTCTAATCACCGTCAGCTTCCCTGTCATATTTTCTTGAATCTCATCAACAGTCTGAAATCTCTTCCCTTTCAAAAGTGATTTTAGTTTTGGGAAAAGCCAGAAGTCACAGGGCACCAAATCTTTGCTGTATGGGGCCTGAGTCACCTGGGGGATTTGATGTTTTGACAAAAAACTCTGTACAAGATGTGATGCATGAGTGAGCGTTTTGTCATGATGAAACTGCCAGTCACCAGTTGCTCATAGCTGCAGCCTTCTGAATCATCGAAATAGATTCCACAGAGGAATGTTCAAGCTTAATGCTAAATTTGATGCAGATTCATTGCTCTACTCACTTGGTAATTTTGAATGCGAAGTCCATACAATACACATGCTCAGTCAACAGCATCTACCACCCCCACTGATTAGCACAGTGAAGTCATCATTGTTCACACATGCGTATTCCAGTCCACTCTCCTTGGCTGCCAGGTCACATCGATATTGCACAAATCGTTCTTGTTATATTAACAATGGTTGGACCTTTTCTAGACAGAGTATCTATCTATTTATCTATCTATCTCCACACATACAACCATATATATCTTATTTTGATATTAGTTTTGTTACATGTTATTTACTTTTATTTTCCTTCAGCACTGTTTTAGGAATAGTAGTATTTGGAGTTTGGGCCTATTCTGAAAGAATTTGTGTTAATGAACCCTTTATGTTATTGAAATATTTGTCCCATTGAAGAGGGATTTGAACCACTTGCATTTATTTACAGAGATAATATATTTGGTTTCTAATAATCCTAATCTTTTTTTTTTGGTTCTGTATCATTTTGGTTTTGCTTTCCATTTGTAATGATTCCATGTTCCTTCTTTGTTATATATCTGTTCAAGACTCTGGCCCTGATTTGTCTCTAGAAATTTGCAAAATATACATCATTTTAAAAATTCACTTGGTTGATGCATTTACATAAAAAATTGAACCTGTATTTTCCTATTATCAACATCAAGAATGGAGAATACTAATTTTTCCATTCAAATGAGGAAATTAGAGAACTTCCTCCTACTTTACATTCCCTGTGGAGTTTTCAGATATTTATTATTTTGAAATGATATTTTGCATCATACATGATACTTTAAAGATTTATAACATTTTAATATTTTTTTAAAATTATATTGTAAAATTACTTATACTTAACCCTACATTTGTTCGGGTTCAATTCTCACTACTAGCTCATTTATAAAAATAAAATCTTTCCCCATTATGGAGTTATCTAGTGGTTCCTCTTTTTAGTGAACAGAATACAAGATTTTCACCTGGTATAGTTATCTTTGTTAATTTGTCAAGTAAATGGTAAAACTTTCCATTTACAAGTGAATGGACAATTATTTCTTTCCATCATATATTTTTAGTGCTTATATTGTTTATTTTGCTCTGCTCAAGAAATTTACCCTTGAAATTGGTTTTCCATTTTTTTATCTATACAGCTGACGTCCTGTCTACAATTTGTACCCCTCTACCTGACTACTTCAGATACAGGAGCACATGACAATCTGAGCGTGGCGCTGGAGCCAGCCTGTAAGAGCTGGGTCCCCTTACTGCTTCCCAGCATGAGATCTTGAAAAACCGTGAACTTTCCAAAAATAATCTCTTTCTTTTGGTGGGCCCCTGAGTCTGGAACTCACTTTTCCAAACGAAGGAACTATGGTGGCTCTTCTTCAAAGATAACCCCCATGAGCCAGCTTTGCAGTATTTGCATACTGTGCAGTGCCTATGAATCTGGATAGGTCTGTGACTTTCTCTTGACCAACAGAACAAACCAGCAGTGACACTGTGATTTCTGAAAGTGTTTCATAACGAAGCCTTGAAGCTTTCCCTGGGCCTCTTAGAATGCTTCTTTGGGGGAAAGCTAGTCACCTTCTAAGACGTCCAAAACCCTGAGGCTGTCATGTTGAAAGCAGTGCACACTGGTCACATGAAAAGCTGCATATGCAGAAAGGTGACCAACCAGCCCCTTCTCCAGCTGCACAAGGCAAGTCACCAGCCGTATAAGTGAAGCAGACAGCGTAAGTCAGAAGGTTGTGATTAATGCCATAGTAGGTAACGAGCAAAGGATATTAATTCTGACAAGGTCTAGTCTGCTATTTCCCATGACACCCACAATTTTCTTAGGAAGCGAAACTCAGAATTTTAAGTCATCTCTTGCCGCCTCCTTCTGTTTGATATAGCTGCAAGCTACCAGGCCAAACCTTCTTGATTTCGAGGCATATGCTCTGTACTTCTTGTATGGTTTAGAGCACTTAGATTTATTTCCCCTGTTTTTTTATTTAGTCATTTCAGGAGGATGGTAAAGGTGTGCAATCAGAATATAATATTCAATTTCTCTTCTATCCCAGAAGTTTGTCCTGACTAGTGCTTAAAGCTAATCATTATTTTTAAATGTTAAATCTAAATCCCTCTTGCCATTCCCTAAACTGGTCCTTTCTTTTCTGTGCACCCATATCAAAACAGACAAGCTTATGAATCACTCCTAAATCAGTAACTTCTCTTTAAAAATGAAGAGCATATTCAACATAAGGTTCAAATAAATACTTCTTAAACTTTTAACGTTCCATGTGTAAACCACTTCCTCTTACCCTGTACCCTGAGGCACGACTTGCTTTGCCCAGGCTCAGAGAAGCTTTAAGCTAAAAACCCCCTAATGTACAAAAAGGAAAGTCTATACATATGTCATAATGTGCAAACAGGGAACTATGTACATACGTGATCAACTGAGCGATATCATGACGCTTCCTTCTTGGGAGGACGCTCCCTCTCCATTTAGAAAAGTTATCCAAGGTGAAGCTTGCATTTGGGGTTATCTTTATCTTGTCCTTGTCACTCCAGACCTCCATTCCCACTAAGGCCACGTGAGTGTTGAGCTTTTTATAAACCTGTCCACACAGAATAAATGGCAAAGCATCGACTTACAATGGTGATATTATCATTTAATAGTCTCAATGTACTTTAGATTTTCAAACTTATTTATAACACCATCGTAAAATCTTTCTTTCCAAACACACTTGTGAAATGGAAGCTACCATCTCTTTCTTGCAGGTGCAAGCATCCCTATTCTGCAGCAAAAGAAGCCCTTAGATATTTCAGCTTTGTAAATTTCCTTTTTGGGGGGAAAAAGGGCCTATTGAGACAAACTTTTTCTGCCTGCAACCTCAAGAAATATAATTTTATATTAGTAGATCATTACTATTACTTCATGTTAAGTATATTTACTCAAATGCTTTGTAATGTTCTGAGAGTCATAATATTTCAGAATTCAGCAAGGATGACTTGGTGTTGGTTTGGACATTGGAAAAGAAACATGCTAGGTGAAAAAGTCCGACATCTGGATATCACAATGAAGTAAGTGGTCCTTGAATTCTTACCTGTGGACTAAACCAAATATTCTATAATGAACAAAGAATAACCTTTGGAAAAAAGTTAAGCTTATGAGACAATATGCTAACTCTAAAAATAAAAGCTTAAATAGCTACTATGGTTTATAAAACTATAGTGTTAGTCAAAAGGTGCAAATTTCCAGTTTTACTATGAATAAGTTCTGGGGAATCAAATGCACAGCATTGTATATAATACTACTACTATATTATATAATGAAATGTACTTGAAAATTGCTAAGAGAGCAGATCTTAAATGCTTTCCCCACAAGAAAGAAATGGTAATTATTTGATGTGATGGAGGTGTTAGCTAGCCCATGACAGTGATCATTTTGCGGTATATAAGTGTATCGAAGCAACACTTTGAACACTTTAAACTTGCACAAAGTTATATGCCAATTATATCTCAATAAAGCTGAAAATACTTTCACAGTGACAAGCTTTCTCATGAGGCAACATTCTGCTGAGAAACCCAAACAAATTGTTTTTTTAATTAGTTTGGAAAATAATAAAAGCTTTGAGGAATGCAATTATCACCAAAAGAGAAGTAAAAATCTAACAAGATTAAAATCCTCCCCTTTATTATTCCCTTAACTTCCTCATTCCTTTCTCGTTTTCTTTTACTCACCTGACTCAGCTCTGATCCTGGTTAAACTCACTGCACTCTGCCTGCCTACTGTCTGTGCTTCACCAATGCCTGCGACACGGCAGGGGTGGGGGTGGGAGTGGCGGGGTCAGCTATGCTGACCGTTTCACTTCGAAGCCACGGCCACTAACCTCAGGTGGGCTTTTCCACTCCCCAGAAGTCTGCTGCATTTCCAAAGTTCACTCATTCTCTGCACATTTTTTTCATACCCACTCTTCTGTCTTAGAAATCCTGACACTTTCTTGGGTGTCCAACCTGCGGCCCACATGCCACGTGCGGCCCAGAATGGCAATGAATGTGGCCCAACACAAAATTGTAAATTTACTTAAAACATTATGAGATTTGTGTGTGTGTGTGATTACGTGTCACAATGTATTTAATGTATAGCCCAAGACAACACTTCTTCCAGTATGGCACAGGGACGCCCAAAGTTTGGACACCGCTAAATCCTCACTTTAAAAGGATGCCCCTGCTCCCAAATTCACTGAGCATGTATAGAAGCAACCAGCAGAGAACTGCCTGGAGCTCCTACCACCCATCTGCCCACAGGCCTGCACCTGTTCAAACAACCTGGGCCTCCCCCTTCTCAGGATCTGCAGACTCAGGAACCTCTGTGAGCCCAAGGGCAACTTCTTTAATCAAGCACCAGATCTCCTCTCTCTCTCCCGATCAAAGAGATTATCCCAGCAATTCTTCCTTCTTCTGGTGCTGTCAATGCTTAGCCTTCTACGGGCTTGTTCTCGCTGGCAGCAAAGGATGACGCTTGTAGTGGGGGTGGGGGATAGGAAGACAATTTCTCTTTATAACCCCTCCCCCTCTGCTTCTGCTCCATTTTTCTGCTCCCCTGTATAGTGAAACTTCTGGGAAGAATTTTCCATACTTGCTGTCTCTGACAGCACTTCCCTCGTTCCCCCGGACTCACTCTCATTGTGCATTTACTTTCATGATCCACAGAAACTTGTGCCAGTAGGGTGACCAATAACCTCTACTCTGTTCAATCCAGTGGCCGATCCTCAGTGCTCTGAGCATCTAGAATCTTTGATTATTTTTCCTGTGATAGATTTTTGCTTCGAGTAGCTTCCAGAACAACTCTCTCCCAAGACAAGGAGGTTTCTCTCCTACCTCCTTGTCTGCTCCTACTCAGTGCCTGTCTTTTTCCTCCACTCTGATCTCTCCACCAAGAGGTGCTTCAAGGATCTGCCTTGGAGTCTCTTTTCTACGTAACTACACCCACTCCCTTGGTGAGCTTGTACCAGGGTAGGAAAACTTTTCTTGTAAAGGTCCTGATAGAAAATACCTGAAGATTTGAGGCCCCGTAGTCTGGGTCGCAACTACGCGCCACCTCCGGTGTTGTATCGGCACAGCAGCCACGGACAGCGTGGGGACACACGAAGGGAGCTGGGTTTCACTGAAACTTTACTTTGTGAAAAAGCTGCAGGCTGGGTTGGCACACAGGCTACAGCTTTCTCACCTATGTCTTATGCCCTCTGTATGTGCTGAAGATGAAGATTTATATCTCTACCCAGGCCTTGCCCCTGACCTCCAATCTTCTATTTCCAGCACTTCTACCTGGAAATCCTTATACAAAAAGGTTTCTTAATGTTAATGTGCCCAAAATGGAAACCCTAACCCACCCTCTGCGTCACTGTCCTCTACCGTTTTCCCTATTCCCCATTCTTCAAGTCAAAACCTTTGATGTCATTTGACTTCTCTGCCTCTCTCTCTCTCTGTCTCTCTTTCTCTGTCTCTCTCTCTCTCTCATTCCCTTCTCCCACACAGCTCACAAACCTTGTTGACTTTCTTTCGAGATTAGCTAGTCTTAATAGATCCACTATCACTGCTTTTTCTCAGACCACCATCAACTTGTGCCTGAATCATGGCCCAATTCCCCTGTCTTGTCTTGTTCTTGCCCTTGCTTTCCTTCCATTTATTTTGAACACAATGGCCAAGGTAACCTTTTAAGAATACACATCCAAACGGGCCACACCTCAGGGTCTCCAATGTCCTCACTCATAAAGAACAACCACGTCTTTACACAGGTCCACCTGGGCCTTCAGGCCTTGGCCTCGGCTGCCTGTCCAATGCCGTCCCCTCCCGCCCGGGCCCTGGTTTACTACGTGGCGCCACAGTGGCCTTCCCACTGGTGCTCAAACATGACATTCTAGCTTCTGCCCTCGGGTCTATTGCTCTGCCCTGCACCTCCCATTCCTTCCTTCAGGCCTCTGCTCAAATGTCACCTGATTGGAGGGGGCTTCCCTGGCTAACACAGCATCCGAGATGACTATCTCTTTTTCACTGTCTCTCTTGCTTTATTTTTCGTTAAAACAATTATCACTATCCTGCGTACTCTTCATTTGAGTTACTTAATAACACTTGTCTCCTAGAACAGAAATGTAAACTCCTTGAAGAAAATCATACTTGCCAGCTTTGTTCCCCACTTTATTTCTGTAAACTCTGAAAGTCCCTGGTGCAAACTAGATGTTCAATAAATACAGCCAGTTCTTGTGTTTCCTTAAGAGGAGTCACCGTGGTCTTTGTGGTGAGGAGCTGAGATTTGATCCTGGTCATTGAATCCACTTTCGTTTTCTCTCTATCCCTAGATTGGGGCTCCCCAACCCCTAGGCCACGGATGCCAGTCCGTAGCCTGTTAGGAACTAGCTGCATAGCAGGAGTTAGGCAGCCGGTGAGCAGGCGAAGCCTCACCTCTATTTACAGCTGCTCTCCATTGCTCACGGTGCTGCCTGAGCTCCGCCTCCTGTCAGATCAGCTGCGGTGTTAGATTCCCATAGAAGCGCGAACCCTACTGTGAACTGCGCTGCAAGGGGATCCAGGCTGCGCAGTCCTTATGAGAATTTGATGCCTGATGATCTGAGGTGGAGCTGAGGCAGTGGTGATAGCTCTGGGGAGCGGCTGCAAACACAGATTATCATTAGCAGAGAGGTTTGACTGCACAGAGACCATAATAAATCAATTGTTTGCAGACTCATATCAAAACCCTATCAGTGAATGGCAAGTGACAATTAAGCCGCATCTGGTGGCAGGCTATAAAGCCATCCTTGCCCACCCATGGTCTGTGGAAAAATTGTCTCCCACAAAACCAGTCCTTGGTGCCAAAGAAAGGTTGGGAACCACTGCCTTAGATGATCTGCAGGACACCACAAAGTGACCTCCCCATTTTGTCTAAGTGGGTTAACTATATGTTCAACTAACAAGAAACTGAATATTAAGATTTAAATAAAAGGGACATAAAAATCATTTTTTAAAAGATTTTGAAAATTAGATGATAAAATTATGTTTAAAGAACAGAATCAGCAATTGTGTAATCAAAATGGGCTTGAAATCTGAGTTGAAATTTTATCTCTACCTTTTCTAACTTTGTGATTTTAGACAAATTACTTTGTTTCTCAGAGTCTAATTTCTTTGCATCGCTAGATGACTAAATGTGATAATGTATCGATAGATGCTACTGTGCCACAGGTTGTCTTATTTTGTTTGTTCTTCTGTTTTCTTCCTTAGATTGGCTTTCCATGAGATTTGTTTGTCAGCATTTTCTCACTGGGCTTTGGAAAAACATAAACCATGCAAACACATTTTATATTTCCATGAGCTGTGAATAGTGTGACACATAGGTGAGGAATATCTCTGTGAGGGAACATTAGTATTTAATTAATTAGCAAAACTTGTGGTCACCCTTCTAGAGCCAGTCAGCAGTATTAGTCTTAAGAGTGTTGACTTTCTGTCTCTGCTTCACGAGTATTCATAGCAATATTCAATGATACTGCCTAGCAATGTATTAAAATCACATTTAATTAAATATATCATACCATGTTGACATAATTGACCATCTCAAACACCCTCTTTCTTATTTCTTCTGGATCTTGATTGTACCTGTTAAACTAAAAGACAACCAAAACAAAAAAATGGGCATTGATAGAAAGGAACATAATGGGAAGGTGTAAAAAGCATCTTCAGTTTATTTTATTTATCAGTTGTTATAATTCACAATCAGCTATCAAAGTTAGAGGTTAGAAACAAGTGCTTCCTTATTGAATTAAAGCACTTTAGGGGTCTAGATGATGTTTTGTCCCCTAACGAACCAGCTCAGTGTAAAGTGTGAAGGAATTATTATAAATGCAGTTCAGTTAAATAACATGATTTTCTAAACTGTACAGAATCAGTCCAAGGAATAGCTTATTCATTAAAAATTATGAAGAGTAAATGAATTTAGTAAAATAGAAGAAGTCAAACTTGAGGGCCTGAACTAATTAACTTAGTAATATTATAGCCCAGAATTTTTCCTTTGAGATCACACATGTGGTTCTCAGGTTTAGAACATTCAATATATGAAAATGCATTCTTATAAAAGAAGATAAACAATGGAAAGTACCAAAAATAAGATTCCATTCATTAGTCTTTTATATTTACCACTCCCCTATGAGTATAATCTAATTTATCAATAACACAATGAGTTAACAGAAGTCAAGATGACAAAGAAATTTAATTGGAAACTAAGTTTGGAGCCCTTCAGAGAGCAGGAAAGTCAGTGCATGCATGTCACATTGTGCCCATTTCTGAAAGGAAGAGGTCACGCCAGCCTAAGCATAGGTCCAATTTCATAGGTTCAGAACGATTGGTAAAAAAGAATAGCTCATAGTCATGACTTTTTAAAACCAATCCATATAGTTAATATCTCATCTAATAATTTAGATAAAAGGGGTTTAAAAGACACATTTATCGGATGTAATTACCTCACCATGGTCAAGGACCAAATAATATTCTATGTATTTCTTTCGTTCCCAAAACTTCCAGTCATTTAATTTCTGTAATAAATATAAAAAAAATTACTAAGACAAAATCTTTCTCTGCAAGAGTTGTTCTTTTATTAGAAATGTATGATTTTGTAGATTTGTTGTTGTCTGGGAATAAAAGGAGACAGGATTACCATTTTAATTCTAATTAATCAGCCAGAATCATCTATCGACAAGGCTCAGAATGTCAAAGCTAGAAGAGATATCAGTGATAGCCTAGCCTGGCCCCTTTATTTTACCCAAAAAGCTTAAGCGATCACACAACTAATAAATAGGGGTGCTTGAATTAAAACCAAAGTCTTCGGATGTGTTTGAACAGTGGACTTTCTGCGCTATCCTGCTATGAAAGAAACTGACTTCAGTACCTTCCTCGTGCTTGTTGTTGTTCTAGGTGCTGTTTAGTGTCCTTTTTAAGAAAAAAGATTTTATTTATTTTTAAAGAGGCAGAATGGAGAAAGAGAGGGAGAGAAACATTATTATCAGCGTGTGGTTGCCTCTCATACATCTCCTACTGGGGACCTGGCTTCCATGTGCCCTGACTGAGAATCAAACCAGCGACCCTTTGTTTCACAGGCCAGCACTCAATCCACTGAGCCGCACCAGCCAGGGCTGTTCAGTGTCCTTTTATGTCTATTCCAGTGAATACTTCATCCTTTACCAATGACTGATGGGCAACAACCAAAGTCGCCAGAGCACCCAGTCCGTTCTTCTCTTTTTCGAAAGAGCTGGGTCTTTTTCCCACGTGCCAAACTTCCCTATTTTTTCCCTTCCTCTCCACAACACAAAATACAATAAAAACAAAACAATAACAACAAAAAACATGTTTTATAATGGATTGTCCCATTGAAAAATAGTAGACATTATTTGTACTAAATAATAAATCATCAAAGTTTATTTTGTTGCATTTCTACAACAAATAAATTGTCAATTTATTATGTTGCTTGCCTTTTAAGAGGTAAATAAGCTTCCATTAACAGGAACAGGTTACAGAGGATAGACTTTTAGGTATTCTCTAATGAGATATAGGCCCATCTCCCACCCTCTGTGGGAGCAACATATTTATTTGCACTTACTGTGCACCAACAAGGCCCTGGGCACTGCAGACAGAGGAGTGAAGTAGACCTGGTCGGTGTGCTTACGAAGCTCACAGTACACAAATAAACATGGAGACAGCAGGCGGGCATTAGTGCTGTGTGGCGGGTTAAACAGCACGGTATGAGACTGCGTGACAAGATAGTCATTTCAGAATAGATGGTTAAGAAAAGCTCTAAAGAACTGGCTCTGAGGCTGACATATTAATGAAAATGAGAAACCAACAGAAGATAAATTGAAAGATAATTCCAACAAAGAAAAAAATGAGCCCAACACCCCCAAGCTGAATTGATATTGGCATGTGTCAAGTACAGCGGGAGTCTGTGTCTGTCAGATCATATAACAGGGGTGGTCGCTGGTGGATGAGAGTGCGGGATCGGGGAGATTAGAGAGGTAGCCGAGGCGCTGGTCATGCAGGGCTCTGTAACTCAGGGTCAGTTTTATGTGTTTGTTTGCTTTAGATGTTATACTAAATGCAATGAGAAGCATTAGAGGGTTTTAAACAGAAAAGTGACGTGATATGGTTCAGTGCACCAGAACCACTCCAGCCACTGTGGGGGGGTGGATTCCACCGAGGCAGGAGTGAGAGTGGGAAGCCGGGTGGAGGCCGCGGCAGTGCGTATTGTGAGAGGGATGGTGGCGGGCGGAGGCGGGGAAGAGGGAACGAAGTGAAAGGTCTGGACGATGCAGAGGCATCACCTGCTAGATGCCATACGAAGAGGGGTGAGCGAAACAGGAATCAAGGATGATTTCCGGGTTTGGGCCGGAGCACACGATGGATGGGGGTACCAAGAAAGGGGAGAACGAAGGAGAAGCAGGTTTTGTTTGGGGTTTGGAAATCAGTAGTTCTATTTTGACCACGTTAAATGTGTGATAGTAAACATTCCAATGGATGCCTGCAATAGACAATTAACTATAACAGTCTGCCTTTAATGGAGAGTACAAGGCTGGAGGTATATATTTGATAGTAATCATTGCAGAGCTCCTGTTTAAATAAGGCATAGCACAGGGTAAGACTATCTAGAAAGAGTGTGTAGATAAAGCAAAGAATGGGATGGACCCAAGATTGAGTTTTAGGAGGAGCCTCTCATATTTTGTGGTCAATCAGAGGAGGGAGAGCTGAGAAGGCACAGCACTAGCGAGATAGCAGGAAAACAAAAAACAAACTAAAAAGGTGTCATGAAAGCATGGTTATTTGCACAGGTTTAGCAAAGGATTGAGACAGAGATAAGGTCCATATGAGCTAAACCAGGAGGTCAGCACTCATATGGTTAAGAGTGGTTATTCTGGCTGGTAGCATCTAAACACCAGCCAGCTGAACCCAACAGCGATTTTATTTTATTCAGACCAATTCTGCCCAACATTTATGGGTTCTGCAAACATTTATAAGAGATGACACTTCTGGGACTGGATGCTGAATCCCATATATGAAAGCACATTCTAAGTTCGTGTGGGCAGATCCTATATTAATTTTGCTCACTGCTACATCCCCGGCACCTATGGCAGTACTAGAAGAAAGGTTGGTTGAATGAGTTTATTGATGGAGACAGCAGGATATTTTATCTCAAAGTACAACAATCCTTTCCACCCTTGTGTGTTGCAGTATTATGAAAGTTGCCTGCCCTAGAGGGCAAGCTTTATACCTCATTTTAGCCCTAGCACATCGTTGTTCATAATAGTTGATTTGTAAATATGTATTAAAGAAATCAATGTACAACAAGGTTTTAATGTCTCACTAACCTACTAGTTTCAACCATGACTGAAAAATTTCAGTAAAGTGCAGTTGCTAAGACTGGAACCCAGTGCAGACAAGACAGGATACCTGAGAGCATCCCAAATAAAAAATAAAGGTATGCATACGACCAGACTGGTGGCGAGAGGGGTCACCTGCTGCCAAGGTCCGTGTGCCCATAGCAAGTCATCAGTCCCACAGGTGGCGTTAGTGTTCTTTGTATCGGGATTGTGCTTGAAGAGTGCATGTCCCTGTTCATCCCAATTTGTGGGGCTTAAAGGTTCAATGAAGTACCTTTCATCTCCATGACTGAAGTAGCCCCTGAAAGACAGGAGAACCCAGGCTTCCTGAAAGACTGTTCCTGCATCTGAGTGCTAGATTTGAGAGACTCTAAAAAGTTAACACTGCAAAACATTCCAAGCTCATGGCAGCAGAACACAGTGTAACGTTACGGCTGAAGAGCTCCATAGAGATGACCTAAATGTATTTTCTCTAAGAGGAAACAGAACCTGGTGGGGACAAGCGACTATGACAATCTCATAGCTAACCTAGGTCAGAGCACGAGAAGGAAATTTCCGGACTCTCGGTCCAGGGCTCTCCAATTCCCTTGCCTTGCCTGCTCTCAAGGTGTATTGAAAGTGAAAGAGATTTTGGAGACTTATACATAAGGATTAAAACGCTGGAGCTATCACTTATTAGCGGTGATACCCTGGGAAATTACTTAAGCTCACATAGCTTCAGTTTTTCCATCTGTAAAATGAGAATAACAACACCTGCAATAGGATGGTTATAAAAATTGAAGGACATACTATGTAAAGCATGTAATCAATGAATACCAATTTTCATCTCAATTCTCTCTGCTGAAGCGCCAAGCTAAGTTTCATTCAACCACAATTTAATGAGCACCCATCATTCATTAAGCATTGGCTTAAAGGCAGGTGGTAAAAAAGAGTCATGGTTTCTCCCCGCTTAGAGTTTATAGTCGAAAAAAGAACATAGATGTAGATTAAACAATTACATTTGAGCCACAGATATAAAATTATATGACAAATATGCAATATATATCATTAGAGTGGATAATTGTTAAGAAGAAAAAGGAAAAGAACATATAATAGGGTAACTGGGTTAAGTATACATAGAATTGGAAGATCGGAGGGGATGTGGAGAGGTAAATTAGGTGGGTTATTGCAATGGTCTGTATAATGATCATGGTAGTTTGGACTGGGATGTGGCAGCTGAGAGAGAATGTAGTGACTAATCTCAGAAAATATTTAGGACATTTAAGCAATAGAGCTTGATAATGGATTGAAAATGGGTCGTTGAGGGGCAATAAGTCATCAAGAAACTAGGTTTCTGGATTGGGCAAGTGGTTGGGTTGATGATACAATTCACTAAGATAAGGGACACTGGAAAAACACCAGATTTTGGAGGAAATCATTAGCTTGATTGAGGTTTCATTCAGATATGCAGATACGAAAGAGATATGGAGATAGGAAAGAGAAAATTAGATAATCAAGTGTAGGCATCAGAAGTCTGGCTATCTTACTGTTGGAAGAAACGTGGGGAGCCCTTAACACAGGGCAAAATGGATAAGACGGGCACGGGTGGACAAGCTGGAGACGGGAGAGCGAAGAGAGGAGGTGAGGAAGAGCTCCCGCTCCCTAAGGGCCCTGACTTTAAAACTGGGACTCAAAACCTCTATTCCGAAAACAGGCAAACAATCAAACAAAAGCAACTCAGAAAGCAATTCTAGTTCGTAATTTATATGCTGATATCAACAGGAGTCAAGTTTCCTTCCAATTTCAAAATGTTTAGCTCTCAGAATTCGTATTCATCTATGATATAATTAAGGATATGTGATATTCTTTAGTTTTATTAAACACACGCATACACATCATCAAAGACGCATAAAAAATATCAGGAAGTCTTACCTTAGACCCCTACACGTGCTGATGCTGGCTTCAGAAAATGTTGCATTAATGATGTGCCCTTGATAATAACAGTCATCCTCAAGAAAAGAAGAAAGGGGTTTTATAAGGGAGAGTGTGCATGTGTTTTAGACCCATTGCTAAATTTAAATTTAAAGTCTTGAAATTGGATCTATAATGTTTCTAAATCATTTTATGCTGAATAACAGTCAACTTGGGGACAGTAAAAGCATTTTTAAAGTGGCTGAAATCTTTCCTCTTTAGTTTGTGACCTCAAATGCCTACAAAGAGCTAACTAAATGCTGGTGTGGATGTCGGTGTGGCAGAGCGAGGACACGGGGTGAGACAACCTGGAAGGAAACAACTGACAGACGTCTGTTTAAAACCTGAGCTCCCAAAGCGTCAGGCATTCATTCTTTTCTTTGGCTTACTGCTTATTATTTTTTTTTTCTAACAGCTGTGAACTCTCTCCAATGAATGTGTTATCCAGGTTGTGTTACTATTTATTTATCCCAAGAGTTTCACCAGACTAAGTGGATTAGTGCCACATCCCCTGCCTCCGTTTGCAGCAAAACGCCAGCCGTAACCCTTCCTCATGTGTGCGTTCTTCTGTCAAGTGCACCGTCCTGCTTCGGGAGAGAGGAGGTGTTCGCCCATGTCCCCTGTCCCCCTGCAGAGTGTTATAGAAGAGACTGTGGGAAGGCTTCCCGATAGGACACAGACCTCCGAAAAGATGGCTGTGATGAAATACCCCTTCACACTACGGTATGTGGTCATCTTCTCTGAATAAGAGCGAAGAGTAGCAATTATTTAAAGAAAACACAGGATTTTGCAATTCTACCATTGAGAAAGTAACCTCGAGTTTGAGAGGCGTCATGATCTAGAGAGCTGACAGGAGTTAACTGGGAACACCAGAGACATGAGACACTCAGTCTCCTGATGAAAATAAGAAGCTCCTTCTGCCCACTCTCCTGTCCGGGCAACTTGAAGGCTGGACAGGGTTACTATGGATGTCAAGGAATGACTTTGTTTTTGTCAAATTCTCCAAATGTTGGAGATAGCCCCAAATACAAGCTTCACCTTGGATAACTTTTCTAAATGGAGGGGGAGCGTCCTCCCAAGAAAGCGTCATGATCTCGCTCAGTCGATCACGTATGTACGGAGTTCCCTGTGTGCACGTTATGATGTATGTATAGACTTTCCTTTTTGTACGTTAGGAGGATCAATTAAGAAATGACTACTAAATAAAGTACTAATGGTGTAAATGCTGCTTCCCTTTCACCATTTTTTTGGCAATGACACTGCGTTTGGGTGTGTGGGTCATATCCCAATTAACACTCAACCTGGAACACTCCATTTTACCACGATCTGTGGGCTGGTGGTGACCTCCTTTCCGGATGAATTATAGTGTGTTTCCGTGTAGCCTGGTGCAAGGAGGTGCCTGGAGACAAAGAGAAAGAAAGGCCTGGTCACTCGTGCTCATCGCAAAGTTCAAATGGTCAAAGGGAGCGCTTTCACTGGGCGAGCAGTGAGGTCTGAACTCCTGAACTCCGCCACGGGGCCTCTGAGGACGGGTCCATGCATGAAAGGGACGCTTCGAACGGAGAGAGCAGGAGGGACAGGGACCTTCGTGAACAGCGTGGGATTATGCCTGCTTGCTCACCAGACTTTGTATTCTTGCCTGAGGAGAGATTTGCGGAAGAAATGAAACTGAGAAGGGGGAAGTTAGTAAAAATAACAACAACAACAAAAAAAAAACCTGAAAAGAGCAATGCTCCTCACCAGTTTAAGATAACTGCATTTCCACCTAACCCTTTTATTACCAACGATTATTAAAGTTTATTGAAAATTAACTAGCCTTTGGTAGTTGGGGTCCTTCCAGCATTTCCGCTAAGCTCCTTAAAATTCTTTCAATGGCCCTCTAGAAAAAAGGAGCCCGAATATATCTTTGAAAGAGATAGGGCAAAGAGAAAAGGAAGTAACTAATATGTGTTTATTAAATGCTATATCTATACTGACCACTGGGTTAGACCTGCTATATGAGTCACTTAATATAACCTTTTCAACAATCCTACAAGGTAAATATTATTCCATTTATTTCTCAGATGAGATTAAATAGCTCAGGTGGTATGGAATTATATTTAGACCTACCTTAACCCAAGTCTGTATTATTTCCATCACACCACACTATTTTCAAACTCCAATCGGTTGTGATTTTTTGCAAAAGGTGATAGTATGTTTGTCTATCTTGCTATCCTACAGAGAACAACTGAGGGATTCAAAGAGCTCGAAAACACAGATTAGGAAAAACTGCTTTTGAGATCGTGCGGAAAGAGGATGACCCATATCTGGGTGAGAGGTAAGGCAGTGAACCTTGAAAAGGAATGTGGAACTTGGATGAACAGGATGAAGAGTATGAAGGTGTAAGAGCCCAATGTAACGTGTGAGAGGGGCGGCCAGGTCGGGGGACCGCTGGGGAGGAGGGGCTTCGCTGGGGCAATCCGGAGAGCCTGGCTCTGGCTTCACCACTGACTGGTTCTTTGGCCCTAAGCTTTATTTAATTTATGTGTCCTGGTTTCTTTTCCCAATGAAAAATGGTTGCAAATTGTTTTAAAATCGAATCTTTCAGTGCTAGAACAAGAAAAAGAAATAATGGAGAGGAAGCGTTAAAAATCTATAGCTATTTTATAGAATCTGATAAAATGTATGTCTGCTTGCACTGCATTCATCATTTTATTATTAGAAGTATCAAGATACTAGTAACCTGTGTTTTACCCAGTGTGTTTCTACATCTTCAGTAGGAATAAACATGCGTTGACTCTGTTGGGCCAGCTGAGAGCCAAAGCTGATTAGCTGAGGTTTACGTGAGGCGTAAGAGATGACAGACTTCATTAGGGCACTTCCCACATGTGAACTTGCTGGTGGTGAGGATTGTATCAGAAGTAAAAACACTTACTTGGATTTTTTCAAATAAAGCACGGCGACTCTTCCATTAACTGTCATTTTATATTTCAATTCAGTTTCAAATCTTTCCTGCAAAAATGCACAAACATTTGCTGGTAATTAAAAACACACACACAGACATATTCATTTTGCTAGATCCATCTGTTTAATCATTATCAAGCAATGCCTGTTTTTCTTTAACAGTAGTCTGCTTAATGATAAATATCTGCTGCTGTCTCTTTTAACAAATCAAACAACTTTGCCAACTGAATAGATAAGTTATTTCTGAGATCTTCATATCCATCCATCTATCCACCTAGCCATCTACCCATTAATTTATCCATCTGCATTTTACAAATATTATTTGAGTGCTGGTTTTTTTCAAGATATATCTTGGTTCTGGAAATTCAACTCAAAGTAACAAAAAATGGTATCTGCTGCCATAAAGCATATTATCTTATAAAAAGACAGGCAATAAATGTGAGTTACATTGTAGGATGAATAATATAAATATGGAAGCAATGTAGGATGTCTAACATCCTAAGAGAAAGAAAGGCTTTCCTGGGGAAGTGATGTATAAGCTGACGTAGGAATTAGCCAAATGAAGCGGGGCAGGGGGGAGTTGTTTGAGGAGAAGGAATAGTATGCACACAGACCCAAAGACTTCTAAGGCTCTCCCTGGTGATTTTTAGTGTGAAATCTTCCAGGCTCAGTGGAGGTCAGAATATGGGCAAAATAACAGGAATACGTACCCTTCCTTAGGCAGGGGGAAGTCATCAGGAATAAAGAGAAAAATATCACCTCAAATAAACCATGCGAAATAGGAAAACTAGTTTAAGTTTAGATTTATATGAGGTCTGTCCAGAAAGTATCCATTCATGCACTATGAAAAATAAAGACATTTACTGAGCAAGATACAAGAAACATTGTACAGAGGACAATGGCGCCTCACTCTCCTTCAGGGTAGGCACCTTCCCAATCAAAAAACACAGTTAACATGGTCTTGATCTTGCTGTGACTTTGCTGAGCTTTCAGGCATGCAGGCCCAGGCGACTTCCCCTGGGACAACTTGGCCCTCATTTCCAGATCATAACCGTAGACCCACGATTCATCTCTGGTTATGACCGTCCTGAGGAAATCTGGTTCACTGGTTTGAATCAAGTCGTTAGCAACTGCAGCACGATGTCCCTTCTGCTCTGGCAGCAGAAGCTGTGGAACAAATTTTGCCATACATGTATGTTTCATGCCAAGATCCTGCATCAAAATCTCAGACAGGGTAGTTTTTGGAATCTCCAGGTGAACTTCTAGCTCTCGCACTGTCAGTCCCTGATCTTTGTTGACTGCAGCCTGTACATGTTCAGCATCCTCAGGTGTTCTGCTTGGTGCAGGTCTTCCAGAACGAGGGTCACTTTCAACAGATTCTCGACCATCTTTGAAGCATTTGTGCCACACTTTTATTTGCGCTGCACTCACCGCATCATCCCTGAAAGCCTTCTGAATCATCTGAACAGTATTTATCGAAGAATGTTCAAGCTTAACACAAAATTTGGTGCATATTCAAATTTTGAATCTACTTGCCCAGTTATTTTGAATGCAATGGCTACATAGTACACATGCTCATTCAATGGCATCTACCAGCCCACTGACCAGTACAATGACCTCGTCATTATTCATGCATGCTCATTCCGGTCCCCTCTCCTTGGCTTCCAGATGACATTGACGTCATGCAAGCCATTCTCCTTACATTAACAATGCCTGGACTTTTTCTGGACAGACCTCTTATATATAGTAAGAGCTATAGAAGACTATATGGAAGATCTTATTGGGCACTCAGTTTTTACTTTGTTTTATAAAGCTGGTTATTATCCTGGTTACACCCAACATCTAAACATGCACTGGGAAGCGTCAGGTCAGACCGCACGATTGGAAGCCACTCTGCAGCTGTGCCCGAGGCCCAGCTTCTCCTCTCTCGCCCGTCTCCTGGCCAGGACAGTGCCGAGCCCATCAAGGGACATTACTAGTGCGTTAGACCCCTCCAGCCAGAGGTGTCATGAAGAGGTTTGCCATCTCCAAGGTCAGCTATTTTGACCCCTATTTCCTCTTAATTATCAGTTATTGGTGTCCTCACTGGGGTCAAAAGTCTATGACCATAAATGTCCTACACTATGGGCCGAGATGGAGAAAGGCCGCTGCAATTTAGCTCATTTTCATGAATAACAGGAGATCAAAAAAAAAAAAAAAAAATCCCGAGGGTGAAAAACAGAATTCATGGAGAGTTACTGTGATCACTTATTGTTCAGGTTTAAGAAAGGCCAGATAGAATGAAAATATTAGGAGGCTACAGATATGAACTTCTAACCAACGAGACTTACAGGTATCTGTTTCTATTAGCAATGGAGTTTTAGTGGGTCTTCACCTAAAAATATCACTGGGAGGCTGTTTTAGAAGATAATCATTGCCTTTGGAGTGGGAGTGGTAGCCGACACTGGCATAGAGATTATGGACAAAGGGAAACAGCAAAGCAGAGAAACATAGTCTCTATGAAGAGGGTGTCCTGGTGGGGGTGGGGGTTATAACTGTGCTTCTCAAGTATGAGTCTGAGGTGAAGAGCAATGCCTGTTAATAAGAAGTGTGTCCAGTCTGTGTCCTATCTGGGTTCCAAACTAGGGGTTAGGAGAAGAAAAATGCACCTTGATTAGGAGAACGTCCACTAGAAGGAAATGATGTAGAATCCATTGAGTCAGTTTAGCTGGCCAAAGGGATATATATACATGCAGATTTTTTCCAGAAAGTAATGCCATGGGTAAGGTTCAGGGAGTGGCTTAGGAAGGCCGAAGTCCCGGATCGTCCTGAATGTGAGCAGATCTGTAAAGTCAGGACAATACCCAAGGGTACACAGGAAATAGCAAAGGAAACCCCCAGGAAAGATCTTAATTCAAGTCTCGCCATAACATACAGAAAAGCCAAGACTTCTACAAAACCTGGTAGACCTAGCTAAGGCCTGACATTGTTCCTAAAAGGGGGAAGCATTATGCTGCCAGATACTCTATTTTACGGCATGAGCTAAAAGCAAGATGGTTTTGGCAACTAAGGAAGTGTGTGGGCTATTGGATGAACTCTAGGAAGAATAGTAACTACATTTTGAAGGTAAATTCCCAATATCAGGGGCCTTGATTAAGTATTTGTTGAGAACATGTTTATGGAGATATATGGGAAATGCACTCCAGTAATACTCTTTCATTCATTTGTCCATTTCCCTACTTATTCACTTGCTCATGTATTCAAATACTTATTTAGTCTCCCTGTGCCATGCATTTAAAATACAATCATGAATATAATCTGGAATCATGAATAAAATATTCAAGGTTCTATCCTGGTGTTTAGTGGCACCCCTCTAGAAAGTCTGTCAAAGGATTATTTCATTTCAAATCAAATCGTAAGTCCTGGCCAGTCGTGATGAAGTTAGAAAAACAAAGCCACGCCCATGGCACAGTGAGCAGCTGACACGGGTGCCCGGGGCTCTGGTCCGGCACAGGGCACGGCTGTACAATAAGGAGCATGAGAGCCCTCCTCTCCGGGAGGCCTGGAGACGCGATGAACCTACACTGAGAGTTGGGGCCGTCTACGGGACACAAAGATGCCCTTGGTCACGTGCGTTGTGAATTCTGGATGTTTCAGGTAACTGGTCATCACTTTTTCACACAAAGAACAGTGGTCTCAATACAAAAATCACAAAAATAACTTTCAAGGACTTGGCTTATATCACTAAGACAGTGTTTTTATTAGTCATAATCTGTACCTGAGCAAAAAGAGAATATTCTACATCAGGGGAGAGAATGTGTCTGCTGCGTGGCAGACAAGAGTGTCGCTAGGCTTAGGTTCGGCCGACAAGTGTGATATGCAGAACTAGTGACCCCGAGAGGGCAGGGCTGAACTATCAGACGTGTGGCAGCTCGAGGTCTTATATACGTAGGGGGAACAAGGGTTGGAATCAGAGAGAAACTGCTCTGGTGTAGTTCGCATGTTCGCAAGGAGGTAACAGAAGCCGCGTGTTATGATTTCCAGATAAAACACAGGACACCAGTTAAGTCGGAATGTCAGATAAACAGTGAATACGTTTTCAATGTCAGCATGCCCCATACAATATTTGAGAATATTAAGAGTAAAAAAAAAAAAAAGAATTCCTTGTCTATCTGACATTCAAATTTAAGTGGGTATCTTGGGTTTTTGTTGGCTAAATCTATTGGACAAGGACTAAGAGATGAGGGTGAAGGAGAGACAGAGCCATGGCAAAGACACAGAAAACACTTTTTTATTGCCTTCAGCAGTTTCCAACCCAGAAGAGAAAATTGCACATACTCTCATACACACACACACACACCACTATTGTAATCAAATCAACATTAAAAAAACAATTCAAGACCAGATGGTATAACGCTGGTCATGACTGAAGCAGGACTTCAGAGAAGGGACGACAAAGAAATGAAAGGCGAACTGGGCTTCCCAGAGAGGCAGCCCTGTGAGCAGGAGAGCTCCACGAGAAAGGGCACGCACGCAGCTGGGCGGCATACGGTAAGGAAGGGCCTTCCGAATACCCGGGGTGACTAAAAAGGGGGTTACGTTGAGAAGCAGAAAGATAACAAAGCAGCTTAATAAGCCATAGCATTAAGCACAAAGAGCCTTGGCGTGTGATGGGGTACATAGGATGAGAGCATCATAGCATCTTCTTGAACAGGGAGTAAGCATCCTGCTTTAACACAGAAAATAAACAGGACTATTATTAGCTCAATTTTCACAAAGAATTTGAAGTCCATGTGTGCCTAAATTTACATAGGGAGCATTAACAAAGCTAAGACGCGAATACAAACAAGCCCTCTGAGTTCAGATCCCTTACACTGTCACATAAGCTTCATACAGCCAGTTACCAGAATAGTTGACTAGATAAATAGGTATTTTCAATAAATATCGAGTACATCATATCAACCGCATCCATCTACTTAATCATGTAACAAACCAATTGATCATCTAGTACGTGCCAATAACTACATCATGGTTTTTCATCAAAACAAACTCTTCACAAGCTTAAATTTACTTTTGCAGTTGTGAAGAACTTACTATATAGCTGTGATGAAAAACACTGGACACGTATTCAAGTTGTTCTCCAAATGATGAGTGAAGAAAGGTGCCTGGTACTGTCCGGTGGGGAAATGGGGGTTCCCGGTGAGTTGCAACTTACAATAGATGCAGGTTGTTATTTATGTATCATTTATTTGGATTTCCCTGGCTCCTTGCAGAAGAGTTCCAGGTGTAGGTAGTCAGAAAATTCTTACTGAGTGAATCATTGTTTTAGCTTTCCTCTTTTGACTGAGAATGTGTCATTTCATTAAGTAGTAAGATCTATACAAACTTGAATATCTGCTTGTCTTTGTAGAAAAGACAGGTGAATGTCATGTTTAATTGCAGTAATGAATTTTATATGCATATATGCATGTATTCACCCATAATATTTTATTTCCACTTCAGTTTTAATTTTGATGGTTGTGTTTGTATGTGTGTATAGATTTACAGATGATAAATTATATCAAATTTCTTTGGGAATATACAGAATAAATTACATATTACCATAAGAATGTTAAATTTTACTCTCTGTTTAACTGTCACAACATTAATCTGCAAAATAAGGCAGAATGTTGCATTTTTGTGAAGATTAATAAACATATCACAGGTCAAAAAACAAATGCAAATGTGTATATATGTGTGTATGTATTTATATATTAAATATAGTTATTCGTGTTTTTCTTTGGCTTTGCTAAATCAAAAGCTGTACCTGTTGATCCAGCTCCTTGGCCTCTCTTTTATGGAGCGGATGAAGTCTTCTAGGATAAACCACTTCATACTTCTTTCCTCCAGGGAAATCTTTTAGAGCAGTAACTTAAAAAGAAAAAAAAAAAAGTAAGAGAAGCTTTAGCTGATTCAGAACCATTGCCTGCTGGTTGGAAAAGGCTACCCTTGTGCATTTCTGATGCGGATGCCACATGTGGGGCTCTGATTCCATCAGAGTTATTAAGGCACGAATACCAAAAGAGATCCCCCAAATCAGAGACCCACCCTTCCTTCTAAATCTTTACTTTCACCTATACCTTCAAATGTTTCCCCACTGAACATATTTATTTTTTTAAGATTTTCTTTATTTTTAGAGAGAGGGGATGGGAGGGAGGAAGAGAGGAAAAGTTCAATGTGTGATAGAAACATAGATAGGTTGCCCCTTGCATGTCCCCATCTGGGGACCTGGCTGGCAACCCAGGCACATGCCCCGGAGCCGAACCCAGGACCTTTCAGTTTGCGGGCCACTGCTCAATCCACTGAGCCACACCAGCCAGGGCAACCCCACTGAAAATGCTTCTTTTGAATTGTCCCACCTCTCTTTGCTGTGTTGGATCTCCTGCAGAGGAACAGAGCAGGCAGCGTAGACAGAAGCCGGCAGAGAAAGCAGAAGCCAAATGAGTCTTCTACGAAAAGTCAGTGGCAGAGTAGTTGAGTCGAAGCACTCTCCAAACTACATGGTGTTAGAAAAATGAAAGAGCTACCCAGTAACAGGTGCCATTTCAGGTTCTAATGTATTTCCTTGGGTTTCCCAATAGCAGTGTTTTACACTAATGAAACAAGGGCTCCGATACCAACTCCACAGAATGGGCCTGCTCTTTGCAGCACAGGCAAACCTGCCTGCAACACATAAATCATATTTTTAAAAATTTGAGAAGCAATTAGAACACTATTCCTGGGCTGGAAGGACATTTCTGAGCCTGCTGTTATATTAACAGAGAATTGAAGAGTTATCTCACCCAGCTTCCTGCCTGCAACCTGGGTTCTCATCTCAACAGTGCATCCAGAAGGTATTGTTGATGGAAATTCAGTTTTTCTAAAGCTGACACCAGTCCAGTGCCTGTTCTGTGCAGAGTGGAGCCTGAGGAAATGTCAGCAGACCTGCTCTCTGGCTGCTGCAGAGCCTGCAAGTCCATGCAGAACACAGACGCAGCGGGGCCAGGACCCAACCCAGCGACTGACCGACACTCCGTGTAGACTAGAAGGTTCCCTAAAGAAGGTTAGCTCATTGCAGTACTCAATGAATTTACATTCTATGGTGGAATAAATTTGTTTCTATGGTTGACCTTTCAACAAATAGAATTGAGCACGTTTGTTAGCTTCCTTGAATGATTGTACAATTATCCCAATAGGCTCCAAAGAATAAATATTTCTTTAAAACATTTTCTTTAGAAATTAAGCAGAAATTTTCAAAATTTCTGGTGATGTCAATTTTCTTTTATCATTTTAGGATGGATTTATTTCATTTGATCACTCAGAACTATTTATATCTAACTTTGAAAGATTAAAAAAAGTGATTAAATGGTCTAAAAACTCATTGGATCAAAAATGGGGTGTTAAAATGAGGAAACACCTTTCCATTCAGTGGCCTGAGATCTCAAAAACATTTAAAGCTGTGACATCAACACTAGAACACCTTAACATTGGGTTTAGCTGGGGTTTTTAATTATTTGAAAAGAGAGGGCAGATGAAATGATCTTTGGCCAGTTCAAGTGGTCTATGATTTTATGCAAATGAATACAGAATCCCTTATACTATCTTCAAAGAGGCAACGATCATTTGGATAAAATTCTAATCTCTGGTGATAAAATAAGTCTCATCGCCTAGTCACACTTCCAGAACTTCACAAGTTCCCTCAGTCACTTGCTGTTACAGAGATAATCACTGTCCATCTTTTATTTCCATATAATTAATTTTGGGTAACAAAATAACATTACTTATAAACAGTTTCCATAGCTGAGTTTCAAAAGCCTTAAAAAATTCAGTCAATTATTGTCTTTCCACTGAGTGAAAATTTTTGTAATTATCACAATTATTTCAAAATAATATGTCAAGAGGTAAGAAAATTGCTCCTGCCAAAAATTACCTGAGGGTAGCAACACAGTTGTCTACAGCCTCCTGTAACTCTGTGATACCAGACAAGCACCGTCACGCAAGACACACTTGCTGGCCAGTGGACTGGGTCCAGCCAGTGCAATTAGTCCCATTAATACGGAGCTCACGAAGCCATATATTCATCAATGTTGCAAACAGAGTAGCCCTTTTAAAAATGTTGTATGAAAAAATTGCTTTCAACCATAATATATATTCTAATAGGAAATGTTATCTAAGCTGCCCTCAGGTCATAAAATAATACCTACCCAACTGATTCTTTTTATAAAAGCATAAAGCAGTACAACTTGCACATTCCCATTCAGAAACAATAAGAAACGGCCAATCTGACCAACACAGGTTTTCTTGGATAGACACGCTGATCTCCATGCGGCTAGTTAGTATCTAAATTCTAATGTTTCATGGAATCTGAAATTACCAACTGACTCTCAAATATGGAGTTGAAATACATAAATTAGTGACAAAATTTATTTTCAACTCTCTGGGGGCAGAGCATTTCAAAGTGGTAAGCAAAATAAATCAATAAATAAAATAAACCAGAATATTTTTTTAAAGTCTTTGGCAACTTCTCACCTTCTTCAGTTTGAAATGAACAATTTCTAGCTCTTCCCAAACTCTCGCAATGTAGTACATTCTCTAAAGAAAACAGACCTTCCTTTAAGGGCCCTACTTTCTCTGAAACCAAGAAGTCCCCTGAACTAGCAGGGTTTGAGATGTAACAAATTACACAGCAGTTAGGGAGACACAGCAGACCCTGATGTTGTTCGGCTCATCCATCCTTACAGCCGATGGAGGTGTTCAGCCTCCTCCCAGCTGAATTGCACAGGCTGATTATTCTGAAGCCTGATGAAACAAACACAACTAACTGCCATCCAGGGAATGTACAAATTCTAGCTCTAACACAGTATGTTTCCACTAATGTGTTGTTAATACCCTCTTCCTCTCTCCCACAGAACTCACATACTGGACTAGTTTGGACTAGCACAACTGGATGAAAATAAAAAGAAATCTGTTATTTTGGTTTGGATTAGATAATTATTTTTATTTTTTCTTCGTTTTTAAGAAGTTAAAAGTTGTAAACAAGATTAATACTTATGCACCCCAATGTTCATAGCAGCACAATTTACAATAGCCAAGTGCTGGAAGGAACCCAAGTGCCCATCAATAAGTGAGTGAATCAAAAAACTATGGTACGTTTATACAATGGAACACCACACAGCAGAAAGAAAGAGCCACTACTCTTCACAACAGCATGGATGAAACTGGAGAGCATTATGCTAAGTGAAATAAGCCAGAGGGTGAAAGACAAATACCATTTGATCTCACCTATAAGTGGAACTTAATCAACATAACAAACAAACAAGAAAAATATAACCAGCAACACTGAAAGAAAAAATAAACCAACAGTAATGAGAGGGAAGGGAAGAGGGGGGAAATGGAGAAAAGAATGGGAAGGGTCAAGTCAAGGAACACGTATAAAGGACCCACGGACAAAGCCAAAGGGGGAAGGATTAAGGGTGGGAGGTGGGGGGTGGGTGGGGCAGGGGAAAATGGTGGTGGGAAAATGGAGACAAATGTACTTGAATAATTAAAAAAAAAAAAGGAAAAAATATATACATAACGCAGATTGGCCTGGATTGCTTTGATCAGGTAATAACACAATGCTTTAGAAAATGAAATTGGTCAAGTACTTATTTCTAATTAGTCATACTTATTATCACCGGAAATGAACGAACTAAATATGAAAACGGGAACTAAAAAGGAACAGGATGAGCCAAATGGTCTCAATAATAATAGCCAATGCTTTCCAAAGCCTTCCACACAGCAATCAAGAGTCAAATCGACTGACTCTTACCACTCTAAAAATGACAAGGTGAATTTTAATGAATTTCACTTTTTGACTCAAGAGTCATATTCATTATTTAAATTGTGCTGAATGAAGTCTTCCATTTGATTTCCATATTCTCAGATCATCTACGTAAATATTGACTAAGGACATCTCTTTGCCTCTCATTTACATTGAGTGTTTATATCAGTAACCACCCCCCCCCCCCAAAAAATACAACATATTAAAACCTGCCCAACTAGTTAGTAAATTTTGTTAAACAAATATATTTGGAGAAGACAAAAAGCAAGCAGCTCACTATATATGTTACAGAACCTAGAAATTGCTAAACACCTACCCGGAACTGAAGACAGGAAGCAAGTGGCCACCAGAAGAAGCCCTTGCAACATCCTGGGTGATCCCAGGAGTGTGGTGTCTGTCCTTCTCACTCACAGATGAGCGCTGCTTGGTCTTTTGTTGCCACCTGCCAAGTGAGACAGAATGAAACTCCCAGGCTCATTCTTGTGTCCGCTTCAGGAAGTGTTTGCTGAAGGTGTTGCACAACCTTGAAGCTGTGGTCCTGAAACAATGGCACAAGCAGGCGGAAGTTCTCGCTGCCTCCTGGCTCAAAGGTTTCTCTACCATAAGCTATGGTTTTTCTCTTCTTCTCCCCACTCAGAAGTAGTGCATTTCCAACATGTTGCAATAGCCCAATAAGCCATCATGAGAGGACAGCTTCGATATCTTGCTAAATGTGTGTATTTATTAGGATCTGGGTGCTGGTAAGGCATTCCTGCTTTGAACCCATGTTTCAGATTGTATAATTCTTCTACATTGTACTTGCTGAGATATTGGGAAAGCCCCTTCCCTTTAATACATACCTGATATCATTTGAAGTGCATGGTATATAGTGTCACTAATTCTTACAAAAATTTTTTTTTGACATAGGTCTCAACTCTCCAAATTACCTGTGAGGAAGCTGCAGCCCCGGGGTGTGAAGAAAGCCTTCCCCGGCCTCCGGCGATGTGTAAAGGTTGCCTGGTGGCTGGGCTCACCGGCAGGGCGTGCCCAGATCCCGGCCTCATCCTGCAAGGAGCACAGTTCGCAGGGGAAACGTTGTCAGAAAGAGGACAGCCGTCAAGGATGCCGACAGGGGAGAGACTGACCGCGAAAGGATCCCACATCATCAAACAGGAGACAGATAAATAAGGGTTATGGTATCAGGGAGGATCTAGTCTTCTGGTTGGTGCTGCCTTTTGTTGGTGATTTGGGAGGCATTGTTTGAAGCTAAGGCTCTGCAGCACAGTACGAAACTCTCTCCTCATCCTCTTCCGGGTACATGCCTCAAAAAGGAAACTCCTGGAATGACAGTCAGATAAATAGGGTGGGGAGATAGTCAATGTGTAAAAAATCATTTTTACTAGTAGATGGGCCCTCCCTACCAGGAGTAGACGGACCTAAAACACAAGAGAGGACGGGAAAGAAGGGCACAATTATGGGTAGTTTCCTAAGATGCATAGTTTGGATCTGATTGCAGTAATATAGCTGTCCTGTGTTTTCTGTATATTTATTTCATTCAAGGCCTCCCAAGTGTCTTCAGAAATGATTACTTAGGACCACTGGATTAGACGAGTGGGAGGCCATGTCTGAAACGCTGCCAGAGGCGGGTCGTTATCGGAGCACCAAGATGACTTCGCTGTGACTCTGTTTCGCACCCAGCTCTACTGCCAGGCGCCCTAATCCCTGAGGGAGGAAGAGGGTGGCACACATGAAAGATGGTTTCTTTCCTCAAAAGATCGTCACCAAAAAAAAATCTCTTTTCAGCACAGAATTCTCACTATTCTTCCTGCTTTCCACTTTGATTCTTTCACAAAGTGTCCTGGTGTCAGAGAGGAAGTGGCAGCAGCGGGGGCGGCTGGAGGTGGGAGGGAAGGGCGGTCCCCTCACCGCCTCCCTGCCCCTCCCAGGCCAGGGGGAGGCCAGGCCTTCTGCAGTGGGAACGAGGGGACGGCACCTGCTGCGGGGTTCACATGTGCCAGTTTCTTTATGCTACCATGTGACAGTCTTCACCCCGACTCTAAGTAGGGTTATTGAAACCAAAGGCAATAGATCTTTTCTGGTCATATGTGACTGGTCTTGGGACCATTGGGTATAGGATCTTTAGCGTTTGTTTTTATTTAGTTAAATATTCATACACTGCCCTGTGCTTACAATTGCTCCCAGAACGGACAGAGAGGAGTCTCTCCTTCGAGCCAAAGAGCAGCTGGAGAGTCATTGGCAGCTGAGGCACTGCCTCCTTCGCTTTCCCTGAACCCAGGGACACACTGCAGAGAGGTGGCACCGACTAAGTGCTTCCGGTGCTGCTAAAAGGGATGTGTCGTGGGGTTTGAGTAACTCAGGTTCTCACATGGCTGAACGCAGTCCTTCTCTCTGCTCCATAAATACTGAAATCTTGTATACACATTGAAAACTTACCTGATCACCTCTCTACCACCACTCTGGGTAATGGAACAAACAAAAGTGCGAGTGTAGAGTTTGAAAGTAACCTCCACGGGAAGAAGACTTGTGGTTGTCAAATTCAAAATTTTAAAGCATTTTTCATATATAAATATATAATTCAACCACTGAGAATCTTTCTAAAAATTATCTAAAATATAAAATGAGTTCCATGCATCAATATGTTAAGCACACTGTATAAAAGATAGAACTAAAATGAAATATACAAAAATAAGAGAATGGGTATTTAATCTACTATATACCTACTTGATGAAATATTAAGCCAACATTTAAAATTACCTATACAATCAATTGTAATATTATGGGAAAGCTTTACATCATAATATTAGGACAAAAATAAAGCAATGAAGCTATATACAAAATTATCAAAATTAAATAAAAACATCAAAAAGCTATTCATAGTAAAACACAAAAACAGAAAAACAATTCCAATATATTTAGGGAGGACTTTTTTTGGTTTGTGCTGGAAAGATGTGTTTTTATCCCTTTCCTTTCTCTTTTTAAAACCTAATTTTTAAGTAGTGACTAGCATTACTTGTATAATTTTAAAACTATGAAAAATAAACACAAAGATATATATAAATCTTTCCCAAAATTATTAACTGGCCTTCCTTTCCTTACACTTTATGATATGTATTAGCTATCCTTGTACCCTCAAGCCCTCAACATAGAGCTTAGAAAACAGCAGCTACTAAATATGTGTTTGCACACTGAATTAACAATTGAGAGAGGGTCACTCTAAAAAACAAGCAGAGCCACTGAACCACAAGGCATGAGCAGCTGAGTCTTAGAAGAAAAGAAGGAAAAAGAGCTGTTAGTCTTTTAAAGCCAAAACAAAATGACTTAGGGTTTCCTATTCTAACTTATCACGTTCCCACCTGTGGTAAGTAGATAGTGTAACGCAAAGAAGGAAGGCTATTTGCTTTTCAGCTTGGTAAGTACATTTTTACACAGGAAAGCTGAGAGATTTTATCACCTTTCAGGCACTGTATTTACATAAGCAAAATTACATATTTTACTTTCTTGCTTAGTTGTTAATTTTATATTCATCTGATAACCCCTTTGCCCCTGAATTACTAGCTATGTGCTTAAGAGGTGCTACATTCCATTAGGTTCTTTGTAACATGAAGTGGTCTTTCTCCTCATTGCACATTTACATAAAACGCAGAGATTTATTGGGTCCAATCAAGCTGGTGCACCCCTGGCATGACCTAGTGTACTTAACGAGCCAACAAGGGCTGGTAGAGCACTCTGTCCTCCAGGGAGAGTGAGGCTGGACTTTGTCTAGTCTCATAGTTGCAATTCCGACTTTTTCTGTGCTCCATCGCTGACCTATGCACTCTCCCCCATTCTCTGCCTGGTATAAGAACTAAAATTACCACCCAATGTCATGTGTGCCTTTACATCTGTAGGAAACCAAGAGGGCCCGCATTCACTTCACGAAAAGTTTCCCTCCTTACTGTGCTCCCACGGATAAGGTCCCCTAGTCACACAACTGTCCTTATCACGGTTTCCTGCTTATCTCCGAGCAGTGAGCTTCAGTTTCTTGCCAACTCGCAGAGTTACTCAAACAAGCCACACACACACTCCCACGGGCAGCAGGGACGTCTCGCTCCATTGCCTCCCACAGCCCCTGGTCCTTCAGTCTGTCCCCAGGTGCAGCCCTTGTGTGTCTGGGCATGGCGTGAGCATTCTCCAGCCCTGGGCTGGGGGAACATGTGACATAAACTATTGTCAATGGCTTCTGTCCAGTGACAGGAGTGTGTTCACCATACCCATAACCTTAGAGTTAGAAGCTGCCCCTCACCAATGGAATAAATAGAAGACAAATGAGACACCCCAGCGCACACACCTCCATGACATGTCCCCTGGTGGGATTCTGTTTATATCCACTTGGATTTAATATGTTTGATCTCACAGTTCAACCCCCGCAGGGATAGCTCATTCCTCCTATTTATAATCGGGACTAGAAAGAGGTCCCTTACGTTTACTCCCATGGTCTGCCAACATGTGAAAATCCAGGCTGACCGAAAATCTTCACCATCTCAGTTAAACTCAACTCCCCCTGCATTACAATGACCTTCCCAGTTGTCCACGCCCTGCACTCACCAGTCTGTCCCCTGGGGGCTCTGCGCTTGCCTTCTTGCTTGCTCTAATCTATTGGCTACACTAATCTACGCCACAGTCCTTGACTGTGTCAGGCATGTGCTTACCTCCGCCCTTGCTTTGACTGTTTCTTCTGCCTGAAACGCTCTTCCCTCAAGTATCTACCTGAAAGTTGAACTGTTTCAAGTTTTGGTCTAAGACCAACATCTCAGTGCAATGTAACCCGGTCAGAAATTTCTATTTTTCTCTTCTCTAACATAACCTATAACTTTCTGTTTTGTTTTTCTTTATTGTACACGTCACATGCTAACATTCCACATTATACAGGGGTGAGCAAAAGTAGGTTTACAGTTGTGGGTATGCAAAACAGTTTATTCTTGTATTATTATTTATTTTATTATTTGTCTTATTATTATTGTTATTATTTTGTATTCTTACTTAGGATTTATCTTTTAAGTAATGATGGCTGGTAAGTTAACTTACTTTTCCCTACCCCTGTATATTTATTTATTTATTTTTAGAGTCCGTCTCTTACCAGTTGAATGTAAGTTCCATGAGAGCAAGTAATTTGTCCAATAATGTATCCCCAGCATCTAGAACTTTGTGTGTTTCAGAGTGAGTGCCCAATAAATATTTGGTAATTTTTGTCAAATGAATGAATTTAAAGACTTAGAAAAATTTTTGTAGCAAAAATTATTCTATTTATTAACATAAAAGTCTGATGTATAAATATATATTTATATACTTTAAATAAGTTTCTAGTGATCCACTTTAGCCCACATAGCATACAATTGGCAGGAACATTGTTATATTCCATGCA